GTGCCTGGGAAAGCAGCAAAAGATGGTCCGGGTAGCTGAGCCCCTGCCACCCACGTGGGAAACCCAGAGGGTTTGGCCTGGCCCAGCCCCAGCCATTGTGGTCATTTGGGGAGTGAACCAGAGGATGGAAGATCTCTCTGACTTTCCCTCTCTCTGTTAACTCTGCCTTTCAAATAAAATAAATAAATCTTAAATAAAAAATTTTTTTAAAAAGAAACAGAATAACAGGGACGTGAACCGACACTCCGACCTGGGATGCAGGCTTGGTAAGTGGCGGTTTAACCTGCTGTGTCACAACAATGACCCCGTTAATTTTATTTTTAACTGACACATAATAATTATACATAATTATGGGATACAGTGATAATTTGATACACTTAGATAATGTGCAATGATCAGAGCAGGGTGATTAGCATTTCCAGCTCCTTAGAGGCTCATCAGGGATGATAAAAGCTTCACTCCCACCCCGCCAGCTCTTTATAAAATGAGTAATAAACTGCTGTACAGTGTCAAGTGGTTCCTTCCTCTGTGTCAGAAGCTGGTGTTGGGAGAAGCGTTGAGGTTTGCTCTGGCATCCCTGGGGCCCTTTGCCCAGCAATACCGTGTGTTGGGCTTCGAACACATCGGGGTTCTGGTTTTTCGTAGCCCCCAGAAGGGAGATGGAGAAAGGAGCTGGAGAGTGACCTCAACAGAGACACGTTGCTTTAGTGAAGCAGAGAGGGGCGAGGGTCTGTTCTTGCGAAGACTGTGCACAGGGCGTGTGTGGGGCTGGGCTTTATCTGGTTAAAGAGAGAACTTGCCATGGGTGGGAAGGGGAATTTGCTGCTGGCGGGAAGTAGGGGCTGTCCAGAAGCTCTGGGAACTTTCCCCTTACCTGTTTCGCAATCTGCCCTGTTCCTCTGCCAGCTGTTTTGCAAGGAGTCTGGGGGGGATCAGGCACGGTTCAGGAGGAGCTTTCCAGGGAGGGAGCAGGAAGTGGGGGGGGGGTCCTATTGCCCTTTATTCCAGATCCTAGATGCAAAAAAAGAGGAGGGACGCGGCCTCCAGCTGGCTACTTTCTGCTGAGAAGGGCCCACGGGGGTTTGCCTCTGGAGCCCGGAGGCGTCCTCGGGTTTTGAGGGAAGGGTTTGGCATCCTTGATTGAGGCAGTGGAGTATGTCTGATAGCGGGTGCTGATTGGCTAATGAACTGGTCGTGGAGCTACAGAGTCCCGGCCAGGGTACCTACATCTAAATTTGTATATGTTTTGACTGCTTCAGTAAGGCGAGATAAAAAGGAGGCCTGATTTCCACTAGGGCCCCTGAGGAATGTGCTGGACTTTGTCATAGTTGACATAGGTATGAGCATTTTTCTGCATGCCTTCCAGGAGACAGGTTGCCCCATGATTAGGTCTCTGTGTGCCCGAATCCTGGGGCTGATGTGTCCAGTCCGGCTTGGTGCCCTGGAGAGCTCTGTCTGCCACGAGACATAGTGAGGGCCTTGTTCCTGCTGGTGGTCTGCACGAGAGTGGAGGTTAGTACTTAGCAGACATCTCCCTGGGGTCAAAGGTACGCTTGGGAGAGGCGGAGGAACTCGTTTTTATATTAACATGGGTTTTCTGAAAAGGAGCCTCACTTTTCCTCAGTCTTGCTCACATCGGACAAGAAGGAGACATAAACCCGGGTGGGGCCCCTGGCCCTGCCACTTCCCCTAGGGGAAACATATGTGTTTGCCTGTGTCTCCGAGATCCAGTGAGGGGGGTGGGGGGAGCCGGTCTGTGTGGTTGGAAGGGGAAAGCAGAAGAGTGGAGGCTACAGATGAGCCAGCCTGGCCTGGGGGGTGGTCAGGGGCCCTCTGGGATCTCTATAATCGGGGAGGTGTTAGAGGAGGTGGGAGGAAGTTTCCGAGAGGGGATGGGGGGTCAAGGAGGGGGTTATCAATGGGGTCATGGGGGGGGACGCAGGGTGGGGGTCAGCATCTGGATCGAGGTGTGAGGAATCCGTTTGGGATTTTACGGCATGCTTGGGAGGAGAAGAGGGGGACAGAGGAGGATTTCATTGGAGAAGCAGTCTTTACACAGACGGCTGGTTGCGAGGGGTGAAGAATGCTGAGAGAAGCAGGAACCACAGACTACTTGCTTTTCCTTCTGAAGATGTTATATAGATCCATAAAGCACGTTTTGATCAAAAGAGCTGAATTCTGGCCCGTGGCTGCAGTTGTCTAATTCATATTGATGCCAAATTTGTAGGCAAAAGCGCTTCACTGCGTGAACCCAGAAGTCCGTGAGTGCCAGAGGCTTGAGATTTTTCAGTGCGCAGGCTAAGGGCAACTCTTTAGGAACTGAAATTTCGGACCCAGTGGTGCAAGGCAAAGAGTGATGGGCTCTTGTTTCTGGGTCATCATCCGGTACAGAGACAGAGAAATGAAAAGTGGACATAGCAGTGAGCCCCGGGGTCCCCTCCTTCACTGTTGGTCAGGCCAAAGCCCAGGGGTCTCCGGGAATATGTCTGAAGCCTTACCTTCCCTCACTGGGACCAGAGCCAATGTCTGGATGTGACTTGACCGAATGGCAAGGAGCCCCTGCTCTGGAGGTCAGCTTAATAGAAAAGGAGGGAGATAAGGTGAGAATCCGAGGCGCAGGTTTACACCAATTACTAGTAAAAGCTGCTGAAGAGGCCGGCACCGCGGCTCACTAGACTAATCCTCCGCCTGCGGCACCAGCACCCTGGGTTCCAGTCCCGGTCAGGGCGCTGGATTCTGTCCCGGTTGCTCCTCTTCCAGTCCAGCTCTCTGCTGTATCCTGGGAAGGCAGTGGAGGATGGCCCAAGTGCTTGGGCCCCTGCACCCATGGGAGACCAGGAGGAAGCACCTGGCTCCTGGCTTCAGATCGGCGTAGCTCCGGCCGTAGCAGTCATTTGGGGAGTGAACCAACGGAAGGAAGACCTCTCTCTCTCTCTCTCTCTCTAACTCTGCCTGTCCAAAAAAAAAAAAAAAAGGCTGCTGAAGAGGTTTGCAGCTGCTCACGAAGATGCCAGGCATCCCCAGGGGAGCTTAGGATCCTGGGTAAAGAATGAGCGGTGCTCTTGAAGGTCTCAGCAGGATGAGGTGGGCAGGCTAGAGGGGAGACTGGGGATCTGGACCAAGGCGGCTCTCAACTTTTTGGGGAGTTTTGGAGAGGCGTCTCTCAGGCCCGTCCGATTTACTCTGAGGACAACAGTCAACAGTCCTGATACCTGGGAGTTCTTGCCCTTCCTCCCCTGAGCAGCAGCCAGGTCAGAAATAAGCGTTAAAAGGGAGATTGAGGGGCCGGCACTGTGGTGTAGTGGGTAAAGCCGCCGCCTGCAGTGCCAGTATCCCACATTGGCGCTGGTTCGAGTCCTGGCTACTCCACTTCCGATCCAGCTCTCTGCTGTGGCCTGAGAAAGCAGTGGAAGATGGCTCAAAGGCTTGGGCCCCTGCACCTGCATGGGAGATCCAGAAGAAGCTCTGACTCCTGGCTTTGGATCAATGCAGCTCCAGCCGTTGTGGCCATCTGGGGAGTGAATCAGTGGATGGAATACTTTCTCTGTCTCTCTTTCTCTCCCTCCCTCTGCCTCTCTGTAACTCTGCCTTTCAAGTAAATAAATAAATCTAAAACAAAGGGGGAGGGGGCTAACTGACACTTGGATACCCTATCAAATCATCTGGGTCTGACTTTCACCTGGGGAACTTTGAGTCTCACCAAGGAGTAGCGTTGGCCAGGCACTCACAGTCTCCACTACATTGTTCCGGGTCCCAGACATCCATGGTCTCTCTCTTGAAGAATGGAGATGGTGGGAGAGAGCAAGTGAGAGATGGCAGGGATTCTGCGTCACCGGACGGTTCACCCTGGGGCTCCCTCTGGGAGTGCAGGTAGCCACGTGTGCTGGACACTCAACGGTCACTTCGTGGTCCTCACCCCAGTTGCCACAGAGAGAAAAGTTTGGAGGGAAGGGGTTAAGACATGAAAAACCCTGTCAGGTTCCAGCACCACCATGCTAAGTCTTGAACACCTCCGGGTGCTGGTTTTTCAGTCTCCAGGAGGAGGTGGAGACCAACCTCAGCAGAGCCAGGTTGCTTTACTGAAGCAAAGAGGGGTGTCAGACTGGTGTTATTGTTTTTTAAAGATTTATTTATTTATTTGAAAGAGTTACAGAGGTAGAGCTACTGAACGGGAGAGAGAGAGGTCTTCCATCTGCTGGTTTACTCCCCAAATGGCCGGAGCTGGGCCCATCTGAAGCCAGGAGCCAGGAGCTCCCACGCAGGTACAGGGGCCCAAGTACTTGGGCCATCCTCCACTGCTTTCCCAGGCCATAGCAGAGAGCAGGACCCGAAGAGGAGCAGCTGGGACTGGAAACAGAGCCTACATGGGATGCCGGCTCTGCAGGCCTGAGCTTTACAACCGGCTCTGGGTCTACCGTCTGTTCTTGCAAGACTGCGCAGGCCGCACGTGGGTGGGGCTGGGGCTGTATCTGGTTGAAGAGGGATCCTGCTGCCGGGAAGTGGGGGTGTTTCCAGAATCCTCTGGGAACTTTCCCCTTGACTGTTTCGCAAGCTTCCCTGTGCCCTCGCTAGCTGTTCTGCGAGGAGTCTGGGGGACATCAGGCGGCTTTCGGATGGGAGGAAGTGGGGGAAGGTGACAATCTGTCAGCCCTACTGCCCTGTTCCATGGGGACTGTGAAACGCGGGAGGCCGCCCTCCCGGCAGGCGTGACTGTTCCAGGGGCTTCCAGCCCCGCACCTCGCCCGTCGTTTCTCTACATAAGGAAGATGTTGGCAGCCCGGGGCATCGAGGAGTGGCCTAGAGTAGTACTCCACGAACGCGAACACCCCGCAGCCAGGGTATGGCCGCCCCTAAGCCGCCCTCGCAGCTCCCCCGCCGCCACCTCTGCCCTCTGCCGTGCCCGGCTCCGGCCCCGCCCTTCCGCGGAAACGCCGCTCTCTCTGCGCCTTTGCCATTGCGTCTGCGCAGAAGCCCGGGGCTAGGCCCCCGGGCCGGCCGGGCCGTAGGGCTGAGCTGCCAGTGCGCCTGCGCGAGAGGCCAATAAAAGGGTGATGCTGCGCCGTCTCGCCGCTGAGGTTGGGTTGTTAGTGCGTCTGCGCGGGGCTCGGGAGCCGCGGTTCTTGAGTGTGCTTCGGCGGGCGCCGGGTGTAGCCATGCAGAGAGCGGAGTGTGAGCAGCCCTCTAAGCGGCCCCGATGCGATGGCAGCCCGAGAACCCCGCCGAACACTCCGTCCGCGGCAGACTGGTCCCTGAGCCCGGAGCTCCACCCGGACCACCAGACCTGGGGCCCGGAGCAGGTGTGCGCCTTCTTAGAGCGCAATGGCTTCAGCGAGCTCCGACTGCTGAAAAGCTTCCGAGGTACCGGGCTGGGGGTGGGGGGTGGTGGCGGCGGCTGAGGAGCGAGGGGTGGGGCCCAGAGGCCGGGGCAGAGGGCCGGACGCCGAGAAGGGGCCACCCCCGGGAAGGAGTGCGAGGCGCGGAAGGGCGACCAGGGAGCGTGGCCCTGCAGCGAGGGGCCGCCAGGAGTGGTGTCCTGAGGCAGAGGAAGGAGAGTTGGGGGAGCCGGGGGCTGGAGATTCGCAGGAAGGAGCAGCCCTGAGGGGGTGGGGGGCTGTGAGGCGCGCGGGTGGGGAGGGTCGGGCGGGGTCTTCCTCCGGGGAGTTAACGAGGACTGGGCCCCCAGCGCCTGCCGGCGGGGCTCGGGGTCCCCCCGCCCCCCCGCTAGGGAGAAGACCTTGGTCGGAAGCTTGCTGTCACTCATGCTCCCCAGGCTCGGGGGACCCCTGTGTGTAACCGCAGATCTTGAACTCCTGCCACATGAAAGTCAGTTCTGGGCTTTTGAGCTTGCTTCCAGGCCTCCCGCCCCGCCCTCAGGAAATTGGGGTTTTCCTAAAGAGGAGGGAAACTTGGTGACCTCTGAATTCCTGCCGCCCGCTCCAGCACCCCAGTAGGGCTCGGTACGTGCTCGCTGTGCTTGCAAAGCTCGGAGGTGCTTGTGCTCAGTCCTTTAAAAGTGCCATAGAACAGCCCCGCAGTTAGCTGCAGGAGTGTCTGTGCAACCCCAGAGCTGGGTCATCTTAACAGTCCAAAGTTGGCCGTGAGCCCTGGTGGTCAGCGCACGTGTGGGCCTCGGGTTGGTCCCCCCCATGTGCGCCTGCCTTGGATTGGCCGGTGATGGCGCCTGCCTGCCTCCTGTGCAGTGGTTAAAGGTAGGTGCCCATCCTGCCCTCGGGGTCCAGGAGTCGCTTGGGTCCTGCTTTCCCTGAGGCTCCTAGAGGCCTCTCGTGGTGATGGCGCGGAGCACAGGCCCCCACTGAGCTGTCAGCTGTGCCAGGCAGGGACAGTGGAGCCGCCCCGTTTCCAGAGGAATTGCAGGCCAAGGGAGAGATGCTGAGGCCTGGTACCACTCCAGCGAAGGCCCCGAGGGCTGGGGTGTGGGTCCTCACTGGGAAGCTGCTTAGGTCAGGAGCTCTCATCAGCTATCTTGGTTTATGCTCAAGCACCTGCCTCAAACACCTTTTGTGTGAAACTTATGCCCTGGGCCCTGGGGTGGTCCACAGCAAGCTGGCTCTTGGAGGGTTGTGATTTGCAAGTTCAGTAAGATTTCGAAATTATGAGCAGAGCCCTGGGGACAGGGGTGGGAGGAACTTGAGTGGTCCTGGACCCGCGGGTGGGAAGAAGGTGCACTTCTCTTTTTCCTTCCCCCCTTTGCATCCCTCCACTCCAAGGATGGCTCTTGGGGTGCACTAGTTTTCTGTTTCCAGAATGTGGTCGGCCGTGCTGTGGGGCGGGCCCTGACTTAGTGGTGCTCTGAGGGGATGACGTCATCACCCTCCAGAATGACCTGTGCTCTCTCAAACCCATGGTCTAGCGCCAACAGAAGACACTGCTGGCTTTTCTTTGGTGAAGATGGAATGTTCCAGATTGCTTGTCTTACCATCTGCTCTGTCTTGACCAAACTTTAGTGAGGCTTGGCTGTTTTCTTACAGGCCCCTGAACTCCAGCTTACCTGTGACTGTGTGAGCGCTGAAGTGGAATATGCCCTGGGCAGCCTCTCCTGCCGCCAGGCTGGCCCCAGCTGTCAGACCCACTGTTGATTTCCCTGTATTTGTTCATCTTCCCCTTCAGAGAGTCTGCCTGTCCCTGCTGACCTTTACCCTACAAAAGGAAACGCCTCTTCTGACTGATTCCCGAGATTGGTGCTGTCTTCCTATAATAGATTTTCTAATTCTCCAAGTATACATATTTCATTTGACAAAACCAACCACAAGGTGCAAGGTCCCTTTCCTGACTAAGGAATATGATTTCACAGGCACCCTGAAACAGGGTGCTATAATCCACACTTCGTATGCACAAGTTGTGTGAGGCCCGAAGGTCACCCCACACGGCAAAGTCTGGGCTGGGATTTTTATGGTTAGCTGTTTGGACTCAAGAACTCAAGCCAGCTCTTTCTTACAAGCATTCTCATCAAAAACCATTGAATAAGGGCCGGCGCTGTGGTGTAGCGAGTAAAGCAGCCGCCAGCAGTGCCAGCATCCCATATGGGGCCAATTCTACTCCGGGCTGATTCACTTCCAATGCAGCTCTCTGCTTATGGCCTGGGAATGCAGTAGAAGATGGCCCAAGTCTTTGGGCCCCTGCACCCACATGGGAGACCCGGAAGAAGCTCCTGACTCTCTCTCCCCCCACCCCCATCTCCCTGTACAGTAGAACTTGCCAAATGTGTATCCACTATTTCAAGAAGGCTGAATATACTGCAAACAGAACAGAATAAGAATCTAATTTTAAACACATGATTATATAAATAATAGAACTAAACTTACTCAAAGATATTTGTAAGTTGTTCACTTGCTGCATTTTTCAGTCCAGCTACAATGCTCTGTAAGCGGCTCACACTTTGGGTAGCAGAAGCAACAGGAGTAATGACTGCTTCTTTTTCTCGTAAATATCGCCGTCCTGTCAGTGGGGTAGAAGGTGCAAATGATCTTTTCTATGAGAAAAGAAAAATCTGTGAGATTAACATTTACTTCCTGCTTATTGTGTAATTCAGTATACGTACTATGCATATTCAAATTTATAGATAGTTACTTTTCCCCTCTTTATTACCTACCAAATTTTTAGCAATACTATGCTAATAATATTCTTATATTTGAATAATACTTTTTCTTAAAGATTTAATTTATTTGAATGGCAGAGTTAGAGAGAGAAGAAGGAGAGACAGAGAGAGAGAGTTCTTCCATCCCTGGTTCACTCTCCAAATGGCTGCAACAGCCAAGGCTGGGCAGGACTGAAGCCAGAAGCTTCCTCTGGGCCTCCCACATGGGTGCTTTCCCAGGTGCCTTAGCAGGGAGCTGGATCAGAAGTGGAGCAGCTGGGACTCAAACTGGCACCCATATATGATACTGGCACTAGTGGATGGAAGATCTCTCTCTCTCTCTGCCTCTGCCTCTCTGTAACTCTGCCTTTCAAATAAATAAATTATTTCAAAAGCCAGGAGCCAGGAGCTTCATCTGGGTCTCCCACATGCATGGCTGGGGCCCAAACACATGGGCCATCCTCCATGGCTTTTCCCAGGCCATTAGCAGGGAGCTGGATCAGAAGTGGAGCAGCCGGGACATGTGGCGCCCACATGGGATGCTGGCACTGTAGACAGCGGCTTTACCTGCTACACCACAGTGCCAGTCCCTATAGTTCTTTAAAATAGGGGGGGTTTTAGAAATGAATAGAAATGAAATCAACACTGTGAACACACCCCTCAGGTATTGGTTTTAGCCTGATGATTCTTAAAAAAAGAAAAAACAAAAAACTGAACTCTCCTTGCCTACCCTGCTCTGAAACTCTGCCTTTCTAGAAGCACAGGGGACTGCTGGCAGGCAGCACCCGCAGCACCCACAGCGCTCGGCTGCACTCCCGACCTCGCCTGGCCTTCCTCGCGAGTCGCTTACACAAACAAAATGTTTTTGTCCGATTGTCAAAAATATCTGCTTGGTTTAGTTATCTGATTAAAATTAGACTTTATAAGTAGCAAACCAAAATATGGTGGACGTTTCTCTTGGTATCCAAGGGGATTTGGTTCCAAGGCCTCTCACAGATCACAAAATCTGGGGATTCTCACGTCCCGTTTGTGAAATGGTGTAGTATTTGCAAATGAGCATGCACACCATATATATATATTTTTTTTTTAAAGATTTATTTATCTGTTTGAAAGGCAGAGTTACAAGAGGCAGAGGCAGAGAGAACAAGAGAGAGGTCTTCATCCGCTGGTTCACTCCCCAAATGGCTGCAACAGCTGGAACTGCGCTGATCTGAAGCCAGGAGCCTGGAGCTTCTTCCGGGCCTCCCACGTGGGTGCAGAGGCCCAAGGACTTGGGCCATCTTCCACTGCTTTCCCAGGCCATAGCAGAGAGCTGGATTGGAAGTGGAACAGTCGAACCAGCGCCCATATGGGATGCAGGTGGTGGCTTTACCTGCTACGCCACGGCGCCGGCCCCTCCCTTATATGTCAAATCATCTCTAGATTACTGATAGTACCCAATGCGATGGAAGTCTGTGGAGTCATGAGAAGAGAAAGCCTGCACGTGCTCAGTGAGATGCAGTTTTCCCCTGAACGGCTTCTGTTCACGTTTGGTTGAATTCACAGATGTGAGGCCCGAAATATTAGAACCCGTGGATAAGAAGGGCAGTTTGTACTTGGCCCAGTCTCTACTCGGGTCCTGAATGAATGCTGAGCTGAGTAAATTCTCGTAGCTCCCCATTGGAAGACATTGAAAGGCATATGTTGTAAAGATTAAATTTGTTTTCTTCTCCCCTTTCTTCCATAGAAAACAAAATCACAGGGTCATTACTGCCCTTTCTTGATGAATCTCTTCTTGAGAATCTTGGGATAAGGTAAGAATGACAATTTGTCTTGTAACCTCTCTCTGTGCAAAGCTTCAGCTCTGTGTTGAACATATTTCTAAGTCTTTCTAGAGCTATTTTAAGGTGAGATTTGGCGGGGCGGGGGGAGCTTGTGGCATCACAGCTTAAGCTGCCTCCTGTGGCTCCAGCATCCTCTGTGGGCACGGGTTCAAGTCCTAGCTGCTCGTCTTCTGATCCAGCTCCCTGCTAATGGCCTGGGAGCAGTGGAAGATGCCCCAAGTACTTGGCCCCCTGCCACCCAGGTGGGAGACCTGGAATGAAGCTCCTGGCTTAGGCTTGGCCCGGCCCTGGCCGTTGCGTAGGGAGTGAACCAGCAGATGGAAGATCTCTCTCCCTCTGTGTGTAACTCTGACTTTCAAAAAGAAAAAAAACACTGGGATATATCCTTGGTTTTAGATTTAAAGACACTATGCAAAATAATTTGGCATTTTTTAGTTATATGATTTGGGGACAAATTGTTTAATCCTTCAGTTTCTACAGCTGTGAAAGGATAATAATGAGACAATGAATGTAAAATGTTAATTCACCCTTAATAAATTACACACTCATGTGGATGTCTCTGTTCGACTGGAGGTTCCAGGTCTAGATTAGAATGGAACCACTTTAAAATTGAGGATCCCGTGTTAATATTCCTTAAAATGAAGATTTGGTTTCTGTTAGGGAACTGGCAGTGATGGTAAAATATGTTCTTGCGGAATTCCCCTTAGGAAATTGCTGTTTGTGGTAACAGTAACCAAAGAATCACAACAAGGGATTACACTGAATCACTCCTTGTTCTGTGGCTTAGTAATTGATCACAGAAGTAGATTGGGAAGGAAGACCCCTGTGAGACCTGCGAGTGGCTTTCAGCTGATGACCTGTGGGCCAGAACCTTCAGTGACCGAATCTTGGCTGCTTCATAACCACATTTCAGACCCTCAGTCCTCTGAGTCCTTCTCACTGTCTCGTTCTTGTGTGTGTTTGAGGGTAGTAAAATGAGATTAGAATTTTTTTTTTTGACAGGAAGAGTGGACAGTGAGAGAAAGAGAGAGAGAGAAAGGTCTTCCTTTTGCTGTTGGTTCACCCTCCAATGGCTGCCGTGGTTGGCGCTCTGCAGCCGGTGCACCGCGCTGATCCGATGGCAGGAGCCAGGTGTTTCTCCTGGTCTCCCATGGGGTGCAGGGCCCAAGCACTTGAGCCATCCTCCACTGCACTCCCTGGCCACAGCAGAGGGCTGGCCTGGAAAAGGGGCAACCGGGAAAGAATCCGGCGCCCCAACTGGGACTAGAACCCGGTGTGCCGGCGCCGCTAGGCGGAGGATTAGCCTAGTGAGCTGCGGCGCCAGCCTGAGATTAGAATTTAAGTATGCAGGGCAGGCGTTTGGAGCACTGGTGCAGACGCCACTAGGAACTCCTGGATCCCGTATCAGAGTTGACTGGCTCTGCCTGCTGGCTCTGCTCATGCGCACCCTGAGAGGCAGCAGGTGGTGGCTCAAGTATTTGGGTCCCTGCCACCTACTTCGGAGGCCAACACTGGGTTCCTGGCTCCTGGTTTCAGCCGAGCCCAGCCCTGCTGCTGTGGCATTTGGGATGTGAACCAGTAAGTGGAAGATCTTTATCATCTCTGTTCCTTTCTTTCTTTCAAATTAACTGAAAAAAATAAAAATAAAAAGAATTTTCTTAAAAGTGAAATTTTTGATGCTAAAAATTTTTGAAATCTATGCATAGTTTTTTTTCATTATGTACATTTCCCATAAAACTTTTAAGACCCCTTGTACATGGTTGCTTACTATTTGGACTAAATGAAATTTGTTCTAAATGAGGTCTTTGTGTTCAAGGGAACCATATACTACTTTGTGGCCCCAAATACTATTGATTCATTCAGCAAGAATTTGTGAGAAGTTCACTGTGTGCCAGGCATTCGTCCAGAAACTGGGGACATGTGTGACTAAAACTGACAAAGTTCCAGAGGACACTATATAGCACAAGCCTTCTGCCCACCTGGCCATTCTGAGACAGACTTTGCAGGACTTCTTAGAGCTGTGTTGTCCTGTGTGGGAGCTACTAGCCACATGTTTAAACTTGTAAAAATTAGATGAAATTTAAAGTTGAGATCCTCCGTCGCACTAGCCATATTTCCAGAGCTTAGACCACGCAGGGCTCGTGGCTGCCATGCTGGACTGGGCAGACAGAGCATATTTCCATCAACGCACCAAGTTCTGGGTAGCCCTGCCTTGCAGGGTGCCGGTGGGATCAGCTCAGTGACACCAGTGCCAGCAGCTCGTGAGTGTGCCCTTACATGGTCTTACTGTCACTTCCATTTCACCCTTCTAGTTGCCCATTCCTGTTGCCAAAGTACCAGCCCCCAAGTAAGTGACGTGCATGTACAACACTTTTCTTTTGGGGGCGAATCAAGTTTAGACAGATAACTTTTCTATTTCTTCCATTTAAACTATTGATTTATAAAGGTTTCCCTAGGAAATAGAAAATGAGACATTAGATTTCAGAAATGTTAAAATACAGAAATAAAATCTTTTTTAGTCCAAATATCCTGGCCCAAGACTACTTTAAATCTTTGTTTAATGCCTTTACTAGGGGCTGGTGCTGTGGCGTAGCAGGTTAACGCCCTGGCCTTAAGCGCCGGCATCCCATAAGGGCACCAGTCCGAGACCCGGCTATTCCACTTCCAATCCAGCTCTGCTATGGCCTGGGAAAGCAGTACAAGATGGCCCAAGTCCTTGGGCCCCTCACCCGTGTGGGAGGCCTCGAAGAAGCTCCTGACTCCTGGCTTTGGATTGGCTCAGCTCCGGCCATCGCAGCCAACTGGGGAGTACACCAACGGATGGAAGACTCTCTCTGTCTCTGTCTCTCTCTCTGTCTCTGTCTCTCTCTCTCTGTTTCTCCTCTCTATCTGTAACTCTGGCTTTCAAATAAATAAATAAATCTTTTAAAAAAAATGCCTTTACTAAGCAAAAGGGGAAAAAAACCAGGGCTTTGGTGGTTTTTAAAATTGATTGATTAATTTGAGAGGCAGAGAGACAGAGAGCTCCCATCCACTGGCTCACGTCCCAATTCCCACAACAGCTGAGACTGGGCCATGCCAGAGCCAGGATCGGGAACTCAATCCAGGATTCTCATGTGAGTGGCAGGAACTTAACTTGATTTAAACACACACCATCTCCCAGGGTCTGCACAGCAGGAAGCTGGAGTCAGGAACCAAGCACTGTCATATGGGCCTCTAGCTCCTTATCTGGTGTCTCAACCACTAGGCCAAACAATGATTATTATTTGTTTTGTTAAAAATTTATTTATTTGAAAGGCAAAGCTACAGAGCGAGAGAGGGAGAAACAGAGATAGTCCATCTGCTGGTTCAGTTCCCAAATGGCGGCAATGACCAGAACTGAACCAGACTGGAGCCAGGAGCTTCTTCCGGGTCTCCCACATGGGTGCCAGGGCACAAGCACTTGAGCCGTCCTCCACTGCTTTCCCAGGCCATTAGCAGGGGGCTGGATTGGAAGTGGAGCAGCTAGGTCTTGAACCAGCACCCATATGGGATGCCAGAATTGCAGACTGCAGCTTCACCCCCTATGCCACACACTGGCCCCAAAAAGATTTATTTTTTAAATGTCTAATTATTGAGAAGGTCACTAAAGTCTAACTTGCCCTTTCCCTGCTATTTGTTGACACTTAGCCAGGTATGAGGCTGGTAAGCCTGGACCATGTAGCAACTGTAAATGAAGCAGGAGGGGATTTTGAGCTATTCATGTTTAATTCCTGCGAGATGCTTTCTTACCTGAGTGTTGTGAGGGATTACTGGCATTGGAAGGTGAATATAAATAAGGCTAAACCCTCGTATGTTTGATTCATGCTTGAGTCCTAGCTGGTGCTCCTGTCAAGCCAGGACTGTGAGAACAGATGTTGACTTGGGTTTGAGGCCTGCACGGAGTTGGCAGCAGAGGTGTAGGACGCACCGAAGTCTGAGTTACGAGGGAAGAGGATCATGGGCAGAACCTTGGGGGAGACCTGCACTGGCGCAGCAGGCAAGCTCAGATCTTAGGAGCAAAGCAGCAGCAGAGTTTCTGGGAGGAGTACGTTTGAATTATTGATTGTCCCTCCAGTCTAACCTGCGTATTAGTATAGATAATCCAGAGTCGATTGTGTGCCACTGTATACTCCAGGGGTTCTTATTAAGCAAACAGTGATACGTTGTCTTGTCTTCTTGTAATTTTAGTTCCTTGGGAGATAGGAAGAAGCTGCTTAATTGCATCCAACAATTGAGTCAAACTTACGTCGATACAATGAAGGTAAGAAGAAACTGAGTTCATCAGGTTTTTTGAATATAAATTTGTAAACTCAATTACATAAAATTCACTTAAAAGAGAATGGAAGGGGGTGGCCAGCATTGTGGTGCAGCAGGTTAAAGCCACTGCTTTCCAGCATCCCATATTGCAGTGCCGGCTCGAGTCCCAGCTACTCCACTTACTATCCAAATTCTTGCTGATGCACCTGAGAAAGCAGCCGAAGATGGTCAAGTACTTGGGTCCCGTCCATCCATGTGGAAGACCAGAATGGAGTTCTAGGCTTCTGGCTTTGGCCTGGCCCAGCCCTGGCTGGCTATAGCAGCCTTCTGGGGAGTGAAGCAACAGGTGGAAGATTCTTTCTCTTTCTCTTTCTCTCTCCCTTTCAAGTAAATAAATACATCTCTATAAAAAAAAGATGGGGTGGGTAATGTTTAATTAACCACAGCCGCCACCTGTGATGCTGGCATCCCATGTCAGCGCTGGCTCGTGTCCCAGTCACCACCTCTGCATCCCCACCTGGTGGCTCCATCCCCCCTTCCCTCTGGGTAGAACCAACCACTCCTTTGTTTGTTTCCTTCTTCCTGTTCTCTTGCTCTCCTACTCTGGGCATAGCTTCTGTTACCCTTCCCAGGGGTAGGAGTGGTACCTCACTCATCTCGTCCCAGTGCTTCACATGTACAGCAGACACTTAGGGAGGGTAGAATTTGTTTATCCTGCTAAGGCAGTAACAGGAGGATGCCATAATGCATCTGAGAGTGATGTGTAAATGAGGCATGTGGGGCCGGCATTGTGGCGCAGTGGGTTAAGCTGCTGCTTGCAGCAACAATGCTGCCATCCCATATGAGTGCTGGTTTGAGTCCTGGCTGTTCCACTTCTGATCCAGCCCCTGCTGATACACCTGGGAAAGCAGTGGAAGATGCCTGGCCCCAGTTGGTTGGGCTGCTGCCATTCATGTGGGAGACCCAGATGAAACTCCTGACTCCTGGTTTCAACCTGGCCCAACCCTGGCTGTTGTGGTGTGGCCATCTGGGGAGTGAACCAGCAAATGGAAGATCTCTCTCTCTCTCTCTGTCTCCCTCTCTCTGTCTCCCCCCCACCCCCAACATTGACTTTCAAATAAATAAATTAAATCTTTTAAAAAGGAAGGGGGTGGGGCCGGCGCTGTGGCTCACTAGGCTAATCCTCCGCCTGTGGTGCTGGCACCCTGGGTTCTAGTCCCGGTTGGGGCACCGGATTCTGTCCCGGTTGCTCCTCTTCCAGTCCAGCCCTCTGCTGTGGCCTGGGAAGGCAGTGGAGGATGGCCCAAGTGCTTGGGCCCTGCACCCGCATAGGAGACCAGGAGGAAGCATCTGGCTCCTGGCTTCAGATCGGCGCGGCACACCAGCTGCAACACGCCGGCCGTAGTGGCCATTTGTGGGGTGAACCAATGGAAAAGAAGACCTTTCTCTCTCTGTCTAAATCTGCCTGTCAAAAAAAAAAAAGGAAGGGGGTGGGCCAGTGGGTTAAGCTGTTGTATACAATGCCAGTGTTCCATATGAACTCCAGTATGAGTCCAGGCTGCTTCATCTGATCCAGCTCCTGCTGTCGGGCTGGGAAAGCAGTGGAAGATGGCCCAAGAACTTGGATCCCTGCCACCCAGGTGGGAGCTCCTGATGAGGTTCCAGGCTCCTGGCTTCCATCTGGCCCACCTCTGGCCATTGTAGCCATTTGGGGAGTGAATGAACAAATGGAAGATCTCACAGTCTCTCTCTCGCTCACCCTCTGTCTCTGTAATTCTGCCTTTTAAATAAATAATAAATAAATCTTAAAACAAAAATGAAGGAGAGAAAGGTGTAGCCAGAACTCGAACCAGGCACTCTGATATGAGATATGGGCGTCCCAAGTGTCGGCTTAACCTGCTGTGCAAGGTATTGCCCCAGTGTAGATTTCTACTAGTGTTCAAGACACGTTAATATCATATACACACCGTAAGAATCGAGAATATATAATAACTAGGATTTCCAGCAACTCAATGACCACAATTTAGGGGATGGTTTAAAGGTGCTATTTGGGGCTGGCATTGTAGTATAGCATGTTAAGCCGCTGCCTGCCTCACTGGCATCCCATGCAAGCACTGATTGAAGTCCCGGCTGCTCCACTTCTGATACAGCCTCCTGCTCATGCACCTGGGAGGCCTAAGTATTTGGGCCCCTGCCACCCAGCAAATAAGTAAATCTTTTTAAAAAAGGAAATTATTTTTATTAGATTTATTTAATTATCTGAAGGAGTTACAGAGATCTTCTCTCTGCTGGTTCACTCCCCAAATGGTTGCAACAGCTAAGGGTGGTCCAGGCTGAAATCAGGAGCCCAGAGCTTCTTCCAGGTCTCCCACATGCATGGAAGGGCCCGAGCATTTGTACCATCTTCTGCTGTTTTCCATGTCACATTCGTAGGGAGCTGGATTGGAAGTAGAACAGCCGGGTCTTGAACTGGCACCCATATGGGATGCTGCCTTCATAGGTGGCGAATTAACCCGCTACGCCACAGAACCAGCCCCATAAATAAATCTTTTTTTTTTTTTTTTCTTTTTTTTTTTGACAGGCAGAGTGAACAGTGAGAGAGAGAGACAGAGAGAAAGGTCTTCCTTTGCCGTTGGTTCACCCTCCAATGGCTGCCGCTGCCTGTGCGCTGCAGCTGGCGCACCGCGCTGATCCGATGGCAGGAGCCAGGTACTTATCCTGGTCTCCCATGGGGTGCAGGGTCCAAGCACTTGGGCCATCCTCCACTGCACTCCCTGGCCACAGCAGAGAGCTGGTCTGGAAGAGGGGCAACCGGGACAGAATCCAGCGCCCCAACCGGGACTAGAACCGGGTGTGCAGGCGCCACAAGGTGGAAGATTAGCCTAGTGAGCCGTGGCGCCGGCCTTAATATAACATTTTCAAATATTTAAAGATCATAGAACTCTTCCTTGTCTGATAAAGCTATAACAATATTTAATTATGGCATTTATGGGTCTTTCTACCCCTGACATACTTTGGCATCATTCCTGGCTTATTTTTAGAGGTGACTAAATTTGATATTGTTTATAATAATCATAAAGTTTTATAGAGCCAGATGAAAAATTAATATTCTTCAAACATCAACCGTTTATCTACTCTTTGCTAACATGCATACATATTGTTTCACACAGTTGTAAATTCTAGTCATTAATTGACTCAAACTGTCAGCATTCAGGTTGAATTGAGCTGTTTTTAAAGGAAATGAATTTATCATCAACATGTTTAAAGGTCGAATCCGAAGACCTCTTTAAGCTTCTTCACAGTGCTGAGTTTCTGTAATTCACATTTTGTATATTCTAGTACATGGACATGATCTACTTTAAATACATTGCTTCTGCATGCTAACTTATATTATTTTGCAATAGCAGTCATTCGGAACATATGTGAGTTCCTACTTGTGTGCCAGGTAATACGAGATGGGCTCTGAGATTTCAACAGTAAATGAGGTGGTGTCTTCATCCTCTGTAATTCCGTAAGCTTTTAAAGAACTTCATGAAGCAGTTTGAAGCAATATGAAAAGCATGACTTATCTTTTATCGTAGCCTTCTCTCTCTCTCTTTCTCTCTCTCTCTCTCTCCTTTAAAAGATTTATTTAGTTATTTGAAAGGCAGAGTTACAGAGAGGCAGAGAGAGAGGTCTTCCATCCTCTGGTTCACTCCCCAGATGGCCGCAATGGCTGGAGTTGGGCCAATCCTAAGACAGGAGCCGGGAGCTTCTTGTGGGTCTCCCACATGGGTGCAGGGGCCCAAGGAGTTGGGCCATCTGCTGCTGCTTTCTCAGGCCACAGCAGAGAGCTGGATCAGAAGAGTAGCAGCTGGGACACAAACTGGTGCCCATGTGGGATGCCGGCCCTGCAGGCAGCGACTTACCTGCCACGCCACAGCGCCGGCCCCTCCAGCCTTCTCTTTAAAAAGCAGTTATTATTGACAGTAATGGGGCTGGTGTTGTGTATTGGATAAAGCCACTGTCTCCAATGCCAGCATCCCATATAGGCTCTGGGTTCTGTCCAGGTTGCTCCACAGTTAGCTTATGCTAAGGCACCTGGAAAAGCAGCAGAAGATGGTCTAGGTCCTTGGGCCCCTGCATCCATGTGGGAGACCCAGATGAAGTTCCTGGCTCCTGGCTTCAGCCTGGCTCAGCCCCAGCCATTGCTGCCATTTGGGGAGTAAATCAGCAGATGGAAGATCTCTCTCTCTCTAACTCTGCCTTTCAAATAAATTAAAAAATAATAATCTTTTGTAAAAACAGCTGTTCCCTTGTCCTAAACATTTCATTATTAAAAAAAAAGTTGCATCTTTATTTATTTTTCATCTATTTGAAAGGCAGAGAGAAAGAGACAAGTAGAGAGAGCTCTTCTATCCACTGGTTCACCCTGGAGAGGCCAGAGCCAGCAGCCAGGAACTCCATCCAGGTCTCCCATGTGGGTGGCAACAGTCCAAGCACATGAACCGTCATCTTCTGTTTTCCCAGGAACATTAGCAGGAAGCTGGATCAGAAGTGTAGGAGCTGGAACACCAGCTGGCACATTATATGGGACGTTCAAGTCCCATGTGGTGCCCGTCCCGCTCTCTTGACTTAAAGATACATTTTTACCAATATTTAAAACCCCTGTGTAAGTTTAGATTAATGAATAATTGTAGAATGTATTTCTACTAAGTTTTTCTGAGTGACATTACACGCTCTAGAATTTTGTCTTCCTGTGTGTCACTTCTCTGTATAGTAGAGATTTCTTTCCCGCCTTCTCTACCTCCCTTTCATCCAGTGTCAGGGATGGGTGCTCTATAGACAGGTTCCAGAAACAGTTGAGATCTAGTGCCCATCATGACGGCTTCCATGGTGTGAACAGGTGTCTGAATCCAAATGAGCATCTTCAATTGAGTATAAGACGCAGAGGAGGCCAGTGAAATCCTGTGTAACAAAGACATTGAACCCCTTAGCTCCTTGTTATTGGAATCCATTAGGAAGAAGTAATATGTATTCAGATCCAATATATTTGGTCTGTCTGGTGGTGATACCTAGATGAGTTGATGATATTCATACCTGAGTAATTCCCTGGTATTCCTGAGTAATTCCTTGAGATTTCTCTCTCTTGAACAGGTAAATAGGTCAGACTTTGCTCAGTAGTTAGGAATGGCTACTCAGAAGTTTTATATGGAGTTGCGTATTGTTAATCCTATTAATTCGAGCGTAATTTTCTAGATAATTAACGATCCCATCCACGGCCACATCGAGCTGCACCCCCTCCTCATCCGCATCATCGACACGCCCCAGTTCCAGCGGCTGCGGTACATTAAACAGCTGGGCGGAGGTTACTATGTTTTCCCAGGAGCCTCACATAACCGGTTTGAGCATAGTCTAGGGTAAGAAGGGGACGGGCCTGGGAAACTTGAGTTACTGAGTATCTCGTCTATCTCGTGAAATAATTGTCTCATGCTGTCGAGAATAAATAGTTTCATACAGTGATAGTGATATCCTTATTTTATTGGTGAGAAAATGGAAGAAGTATACTTTTTGCTGTATGTTATTTATCCAATGTGTACTTCCAGCCCCCTCACGTCCTTCCTAAAAAGGTAATGAAAAGCTATCTAGGTCAACTGGTCAATAGGTCAGTCATATAAAATATCTCTGTTTAGCTATTATTTAAAAACTTAATAGGCTTGGTTACTAACATGACATAATACTAACATAATTCCCTGCAATGCTCTACTTATTCTTATGCAGAATCACTCTTTGAAACCAGAGAAGTTTTCTTTACCTTTAGGAAAAGTGCAGGTCAGAAAAGACACTCACGTAAGCTGAGACTTTGGTTTGCTTTTAAATTTTAAATTTAAATTATAAAATGCTCTGTGATGCAGCAGGTTAAGCCTCTGTTTGCAGCGCCAGCATCCCAAATGGATGCCAGTTCGAGCCCCAGCTGCTCCACTTCCTATCCAGCTAATGTGTCTGGGAAAGCAGCGACTGACGGGCCAAGTGCTTGGGTCCCTGAACCCACGTGGGAGGCCTGGAGGAAGTTCCTGGCTCCTGGCTTTGGCCTGGCCCAGCCCTGGCTGTTGCTGCCATTTGGGAGTGAACTAGCAGATGGAAGATGTCTCTCTCCGTAATTCTGACTTATAAATAAATAAATACATCTTTAAAAAAAAATAGAGGACATGCCCAGGGCAAGCTGCACAGTTTTCCAGAAGTACTCAGAGTATATTACTTCGGATTTTGTTTGTTTTGAAGCAGTTTTAGTGTTTTTTTTTTTTTTTTTCTTCAGACAGGCAGAGAGATCAAGAGAGGTCCTGTCTACTTGTGCACTCCTCAGTTGTCCGCAACAGCTGGGGCTGGACAGGGGCCAGAAATGAGATCCAGGTCTCCCACAGGGGTAGCGTCAGGAGCCCAGTTACTTGGGCCATCACTGCTGCCTCCCAGGGTCTGCATTAGCATTTTAACGGTTAGGCTAAACACTTGCTCCATGAAGTATCACCCGTCTCTATACTCAGATGTGTCCTCATTCGTCAGTCAATTGTATTGAGCACTGTTTTGGGCAAACCTATTATGAGAACTGGCCATTGAGTGCAGAATTTGCCATGAAACTGAAGTGTGGGGCAGAGGAATCTAGAATTGCACAGTGTCACTTGCTGGGGACTTGCAGAAGGAAGCATGGTCTTGGGCTGCCCGCAAGCCTTGAGGATCCAGAAGACAGGGAAAAAGGGTTTTATTGACAAAGGTGGCCTGTGGTCAACTGGAAAACACCTGGGCATTCTCAGGAAATGTTAATATCCCAGGGCCCAGATAAGAGACATTCCAGGCATCAGTGTCCGGCAGGAGATGCTTGACAGATTATCTTAAAGGTTGTTATTTTATTTTATTTTATTTGAAAGGCAGAATGACAGACAAAGAGAGATCTTAAATCCATCTTTTACTCTTCAGTTGCTGAAACAGCCAGGGCTGGGCCAGGCCGAAGCCAGGAGTCTGGAGCTCCACCTGGGTCTCCCACAGGGTGGCAGGGTCCAGACACGTAGGCTATCTTCCACTGCCTTCCCAGGCACATTAGCAGGAAGCTGGATTGTAAGCAGGCAGCCGGGACTCTAGCCTGTGCTCTGATATGGGATGCTGAAATTGTAGGCAGCAGCTTACCCCACTGTGCCACAACTCCGGCCCCTTTGCAGATGTCGTTATTTTATTGTTTTTTTTTTTTAGGATTGATTTATTTATTTATTTGAAAGTTAGAGTTACACAGAGAGAGGAGAGGCAAAGAGAGGTCTTCCATCCACTGGTTCACGCCCCAATTGGCTGCAACAGCCGGAGCTGCACCGATCCAAAGCCAGGAGCCAGGAGCTTCTTCTGGGTCTCCCACATGGGTGCAGGAGCCCAAGGACTTGGGCCATCTTTCACTGCTTTCCCAGGCCACAGCAGAGATCTGGATTGGAAGTGGAGCAGCAGGGACTCAACTATGGGATGTCCACACTGTAGGCGGTGGCTTTACCCGCTATGCCACAGTGCCACCCCTTACAGATTATCTTAATGACTTTGCTTATCCCAGAGAGCTTTGGATGACCCTCAGGTCACCTAAAGGGCAAGGTGGTGGTTACCGCCAAGATGGCTGCAGCCACGCTGAGCTGTACAGACACTTGTGAGACCAACTCACAGTCAGAATACCAGTCGTCTGTACCCTCACAGAGCTCAGAGTTCAGGAGAAAGAAAGATGTTAGAAACTACTGTCAGGGGAGTGCTGAGAGTGCGTAACAGTTGTTAAGCATTTTTGTCTTCATTCTGTTTTGTAAACATAAAGCCAGAGACCCCTGCTTTTTTAAACTGTAAAATTTGCTATCCTGACTGTTTTTAAGTGTTTGATGCAGTGGTGTTCAGTCCATCCCCATTGTTGTCCAGCCAATCACTAGAGCTCTTTTCATCTTCCAAACTGAGATTCCGTATACCCATCCAACAGCTCCCACTTCCATCTCTCTCCAGTCCCCAGGAGCTCCCATTCTGCTCTGTGGATCTATGACACCAATGTTCTGGAGACTTCTTGGTATAACCATACCATACTTGCCTTTGTGCGATCATTGGTTCTGCTTTGTGTAAGGTCCTCCGGGGCCGTCTGCATCGTAGTGCTGCAGGCTTCCTGTGGGTCCTTCCCTCCATGTGTGAAAGAATCCAAAGGTGGAGGCATACACGTGTGCAGGGACGTGGATTTATTTAGAGCAAAGCAACATGCAAACTCAAGGACTAACTCAGGAGACCAGCATTGTTAAGCCCTCACCGTGACACCAGCTTCCATACCAGAGCACTGGTTCCAGTCCCCGCTGCTCCACTTCCAGCTCTCTGCTAATGTGCCTGGGAAAGCAGTGGAAGATGGGTCAAGTGCTTGGTGCCCACGTGGGAGACACGGAGGAAGCTCAGGCTCCTGTCTTCAGCCAGGTGTGGGTCTGGTCTTTACAGCCATTTGGGGAGTGAAACAGTGGATCAAGGATCTTACTGACTTACTGTGTCTCCCTCTCTCTGTGTAACTTTGCCTTTCAAGTAAATAAATAAGTAAATAAATGAATAAATCGTTAAGAAATGAAAAATAAATAGGCAGGTACACTCACAACCAGAATCTCAAAGCAGGAGCTCTGGTTCAACATCACTAATCATTAGGGAAATGCAGATCAAGCCCACCATCGAGTGGGCATTTGGCGCAGGGGCAACGATGCTGCCTGGGACACCGGCATTGTGTCTGGGAATGTTCCTGAGCTTCCACCGCCAATTCCAGCTTCGTGCTGATGTGCAATGTGGGAGGCAGGAGGTGATGGCTTAAGTAGTTGTCCCTGTCATCCATGTGGGAGATCTGGCCTGAGTAAAAGACAGAATTCACTGTATGATTCAGCAATAAAGAAGAACCCAAAGTAGGGTCTTGAAGAGAGATTTGTATGCCCATGTTCGTTGCAGCACTGTTCACAATAGTTAAGAGGTGGAAGCAACCCTCAGTGTCCATCACTTAATGAGTGGACGAACAGAATATCGTCTACAATACACTGCAGTATTGTCCAGCCTCAAAAAGGAAGGCGATTCTGACACCTGCTGCTGCGGCTGGAATGTAGATAGCTGGGGAGAGCAGCTGAGGTCCGGCAGCCTCCGCTGAACCGCTGTTGGACAGCTCCCCGCCCACGGGCACAGGCTACTGATTGACACGTGGATGGCAGGGACCCCAGCACTGGGGCCATCTTCCTCTGCTTTCCCCGGGCTCATTAGCAGGGAGCTGGGAGGGAGGTGGAGCAGCCAGAAGTGGAACTAGCATTCATATATGGTGCCAGCGTCCCAGGGGGTGGTTGTACCTGCTGAGCCACAAAGCTGACCCCTCCTGCCTAGTTCTGCCAAAGACCGTTCTGCGAGTTCTGTGAGTTGCCTCAGAGAGGCATCGGACGTTTGAGAAAGCAGGCTGAAGTTCTCGCGGGGGAGAAGTGTCGTGCGACTTTTGCAGGGAAGTGACTTTTTGTTTTGTGGTTTTTCTCTGCAGGGTGGGATATCTAGCGGGATGTCTAGTTCGTGCACTAAGTGAAAAACAGCCAGAGCTGCAGATCAGTGAGCGAGATGTGCTCTGTGTTCAGATTGCTGGGCTTTGCCATGATCTTGGTAAGCTGTACAAAGAGCCAAAGTTGCTATGCTACATCGTAACGTATGTTAACTCTCTGAAACTCAAGACTCAGACTAACCGAGAGGAATACGGAGGCTGCCACCGATGGGCACGTGCTCTGCTTCTGTGATGATGTGTAAACACGAAACATCACTGCTTTGTCCTCCTGTGGTCGTTCTCCGAGTTCCCCATGTCGAGCGTCGAGAGGTGCTTTCTGATAGTGAGGTTTTCTTTGCCTGTGTCTAGGATGACAGGACGGGGTTTTTCCTTTATCCTTCTCTTGAACGACAGTGCCGTGTTCCCTCAGCTGCTTCCTCAGAGCTGTTTGCTGCAGTCGCAGAGAGCGCCTTCTCTTCTCTCAGCCATGTGAGGTCGTGGCCCCTGAAGGCTAAGAAATCCTTTTCCTTTGACAAAGGACGAGAAAAGGGACTGTCTCTGGTCTCTTTAATCAAGCGTTTTTGCTTTTAACCCCTTTCCTTGTTTAGGCCTACTCCTTCAAGGGCACTAGCGTTTGGGTGTGCCCTCAGCCAGGGCCGGGAAGCATCCAGGTTTCAGTAGCCACACGCGTAGAAGAGTCTGGCACTCTCTGTGTCCCCTGAAGGTTGCAGTAGGAACAGTACCACTCCTTAGACGATCAAGTGAATGAATTCATTCATTCTTTATTTTTTTTAATTAAAAAAATATTTATTTATTTGTTTGAAAGGCAGAGTTACAGAGAAGCAGAGGCACAGAGAGAAAAGTCTTCCATCCGCTGGTTCACTCCCCAGATAGCTACAATGGCTGGAGCTTTGCCAATCTGAAGCCAGGGTCCAGGAGCTTCTTCTGGGTCTCCCATGTGGGTGCAGGGGCCCAAGGCCTTGAGCCATCTTCCACTGCTTTCCCCGGCCATAGCAGAGAGCTGGATCAAAGTGGAGCAGCTGGGAATTGAACCGGCACCTATATGGGTTGCCGGCACCACAGGCGGCAGCTCTACCCACTGCACCACAGCGTCAGTCCCTCGATATATGTACTATCTTCTCTTTCTCTTCTTATTTTCAAAGATTTATTTATGTATTTATTTTGAAAGGCAGCTCTACAGGTTACAGATAGTGGAAGAGACTGAAATCTTCCACTCGCTGGTTCACTCCCCAGATGGCCTCAATGGCTAGAGCTGGGCCAGGCCAAAACCAGGAGCCAGGAGCTTCATCTGGGTTTCCCAAATGGGTGGCAGGGGCCCAAGGACTTGGGCCATCTTCTTTTGCTTTCCCAGGTGCCTTAGTAGTGAGCTGAATTGGCAGGAGAGCAGCTGGGCCATGACCCCAGGTCCACATGCGATGCTGGCATTGCAGCCGTAGCTAAGCCTGCGGCGCCACAATGCTGGCCCTGTTTTTCTTCTTTCTAAAATTTTTTTATAAAGGTTTTGTTTGTTTATTTCAAAGGCAGAGTTACTTAGAGAGAGGCAGATAGAGAGAGAAATCTTCCATCTGCTTGTTCTGGCATAGCAAGTGATGGCTTAACCACTGCACCGCAGTGCCAGCCCCTGAAATAAAGTTCTAATTGTTTCTTCCTGAACCTCAGTGGATTCTCTCTCTCTCTCTCTCTTTTTTTTTTTTTTTTTACAGATTTATTTATTTGTTTTGAAAGGCAGAGGCAGAGAGAGAGAGGTTTTCCATCCACTGGTTCACTCCTCAGATGGCTGCAACGGCCAGAGCTGCAACAGTCCAAAGCCAGGAGCTAGTAGTCTCTTCCGGGTCTCCCACACGGGTGCAGGGGCCCCAGGACTTGGGCCATCTTCCACTGCTTTTCCAGGCCACAGCAGAGAGCCGGATCAGAAGTACAGCCACAGGGTCTCGAACTGGCGCCCATAGGGGATTCTGGCACTGCAGGTGGTGGCTTTAACCACCATGCCACAGTGCCGGCCCCTAGTGGATTGTCTTAAAACTGCTACTCTAATCCACAAATATTCAGTCTGAGGATTGTAAAAGTGTCTGGCATTAGCATTTCTTTCAGGACACTTTTGAAGAATCTGGGAAAACTGGAATGGATTCGAGATGCGGTTACCACGTCTCGTTGTTCATTTCCTTGTTATGGTGCTTGTGTTGTGGTTGTGGAAGAGAATACCTCGCATGCACAAACTGCATACCGATCTGGAAGTTACTCTGAGATGCTTCAGGGAGAAATATCTTTGAACTATGTTTGTAAATTTTCTGCGGATTTGATACTTCAAAGATAACAGTGTTGGGCTGGCATCGTGGCACAGTGGGCTAAGCTGCTGCTTGTGACAGCACCATCTCCTGGTGGAGTGCCCATCTGAGTCCTAGCTACTCTGCTCCAGCCCTGCTAATGCACCTAGGAAAGCAGCAGAGGATGTTCCAAGTACTTGACCCCCAGCCACCGTGACAGAGACCTGGGTAGATTTCCTGGCCCGTGGCTTTGGCCTCGTCTAGACCCAGCTGTTGTGGCCATTTGAGGAGTGAACCAGCAGAATAGAGGATCAGTCTCTCTCTGTCTTTCCCTCTCTGTCTGTCACTCTGCCTTTCAAGTAAATAAATGTTAATAATGATAATTAGGGCCAGTGCTGTGGGATAGCGGGTAAAGCTGCCGCCTGCAGTGCCAGCATCCCATATGGGCACCATTTTGAATCCTAGCTGCTCCACTTCTGATCCAGCTCTCTGCTGTGGCCTGGGAAAGCAGTAGAAGATGGCCCAAGTCCTTGGGCCCCTGCACCCGCGTGGGAGACCTGGAAGAAGCTCCTGGCTTTGTATTGGCACAGCTCCAGCCATTGTGGCCAACTGGGGAGTGAACCAGCAGATGGAAAACCTCTCTCTCTCTCTCTCTCTCTCTGTCTCTCTCTCTCTCTCTGCCTCTCCTTCCTTCTCTCTCTGTGTAACTCTGACTTTCAAATAAATAAATCTTTTTTAAAAATAATTGTTTTTGAAATTGTTACAGTATAAAAGTGAGATTAAAATATATAGCTTTCAGTTTGGCAGCTCCACACTGTGGCTTTTAAAAACACAAGTGGCTCTTGATTTTGGATACAAATTAAAAAAGTAAAATTTGAGTTGATTGTGGGGGTAAAAAAAAAACCACAGCGTTCCTCTTAGTTACACACATCTCTCCTCCCACCAGAGCTGTGCAAGCCTCTGGGCCCTACATGCCCCCTGTGGTTCACTCCCTGTTCTATTGCTTGAGAAAACAGAAGGGAAGGAGTGGCCCCTTTTTGTGGTGTGTTTGTGGACTACTCATTTCTGTTGATATTCAGCTTAAAGTAAGAGGATTTCTTAGCTATTCAGTTTCTACCCATTAGAAAAAAACGTTTGTCTTATTCTAAGGCTGCTCTTGTTTTGAAGGTCATGGGCCATTTTCTCATATGTTTGATGGAAGATTTATTCCCCTCGCTCGTCCAGAGGTGAAGTGGACGGTATGTATTCATACACTCATTACTCAGTCAAAAGAAAGGATTAAGCAAGTCATTTAGTTCAATTCTGTTTGAATCCACTGCTGTATTATAATGTACATCCCTATCACGGTTTTCCAGATACCGTCATATATATGTATGGATATACATACACACACTTATATATGTACTGTGTGTGTACAGCTATACATGTATTATGTATATGTATGTATGCGTGGGAATGTGTGAATGTTTTCATTTGATCCCCATAGTAGCATATAAGGAAGGAATTGTTAGCAACCCCTTTATTTTGAATTTTTATTTTCAGTTTATTTGGAAGGTAGAGAGACACAGAGAAATAGATCTTCCTTCTACTGGTTTACTCCTCAAATGCCCACAACAGCGGGGCCTGGACAGACCGTAGCCAGTAGGGTGATCTCAGTCCGTGTCTCCAGCATGAGGGACAGGGACCCGAGCACTTAAGCCCTCATCTGCTGCCTCCCAGGATTGGCGTTAGCAGGAAGCTGGAATTGAGAACAAAGCCAGAACTCTGCGGGTATCCTAGGCAGTGTCTTTACTGCTGTGCCACATGGCCATCCCCGTTATCTCCCTTTTTGCAAGTAGAGGAACTTGAAGCTCACATGGGCATGCTGACGTGCCAAAACCCACAAAGCCATTAAATGATGCAGCCAGCACAAGAAAGCCCTATCTCCCTGTCCCCAAATTAAGCTCTGTCTACGCTGTCACACTGCTGTGAAATAAACAAATAAGAGGCCAGTTCTGGTTTTGACTCACTTGGTGGGACCATGAACTGATACCACCAAGTTTCTTCATGTAGATTAAATGAACTATTTTATAATTAAGTGTTTGCAGGAGTCTTTCTCCTGTTTTTGGAATCACTGTTTGAGAAGTAAAATTATGCCTCTCCATTCCACCCGAAGAATAGGAAAGGATATTGATGCATATTGAAAGCTTCAAACATGCCAGCAATTACTCCCCTCTGACTCTAAGATTTGTTTATTTGAAAGTTCACCCGCAAATGGCCGCAACAACCTGGACTGGGCCAAGACAAAGCCTGGAACTGGGAACTCCATTGCAGTCTCTGTGTGGGTGCAGGGGCCCAAGAATTTGGGCCATTTTCTGCTGCTTTCCTAGTTGCATTAGCAGGAAGCTGGATCAGAAGCAGAGCAGCCAGGATTCAAACCAGTACTCTGACATGGGATGCCGGCTTTGCAGATGGCATCTTAACCCACTGTGCCACAGCTGCTCTTTTTTTTTCTTAAAGTATAATTCCTGGGGCCAGCACTATGGCACAGCAGGTAAAGCCACTGCCTGCAGTGCCAGCGTCCCACATGGCCGCTGGTTCCAGTCCCGGCTGCTCCACTTCTAATCCAGCCCTCTGCTGTGGCCTCAGAAAGCAGTGGAAGGCGGCCCAAGTCCTTGGACTTTGAGACCCGGGAGAAACTTCTGGCTCCTGGCTTTGGATTGGCACAGCTCCCGCCATTGGGGCCATTTGGGGAGTGAATCAATGAATGGATTGAAGACCCTTCTCTCTCTCTCTGCCTGTGCCTCTGCCTGTCTGTAACTCTGCCTTTCAAATAAATAAATACATGTTTTTTAAAAAAGTATAATTCCTGTACAATAAACTCCGTAGATCGTTAGTGAGTGTTGACAGGTGAGTGCAGCTGAGTGACCACTGTCCATTTCCGTTTTGGTCTTCCTGTGAAACTCCCTTGTGCCCTTGGTAGTCAGTTCCACTCCTCCCCTCCGCATTCCCTGTCTGAGGTTTGTGCACACAGACTTGATAGAGCTAGAATCGCAGTGCAGTTACTCTCACGTCTTGGCTTATTTGCTCAGCATAACTGTTCTGAGCTTGGTTGATGTTTCATTCATCAGTAGTTGATCCCCTTCCATCGCTGAGATGCGATCCAGTGTGAGTAAATCACAGTTTGCTTACCCCTTTTCCTATTGATGTAACATGGATTGTTTTCTGGTTTTGGCTTTTTTTATTTTTATTTTTTAAAGATTATTTATTTGAAAGGCAGAGAGAGAGGTCTTCCATCCACTGGTTCACTCCCCAAATGGCTGCAACAGCTGGAGCTGGGTCGATCTGAAGTCAGGAGCAGGTGGTTTCTTCCAGGTCTCCCACATGGGTGCAGGGACCCAAGGACTTGGACCATCTTCTCCTGCTTTCCCAGGCCATAAGCGGAGAGCTGGATCGGAAGTGGAGCTGCCAGGACTTGATCGCATGCCTGTATGAGATGCTGGCACTGTGGTCGGCAGCCTTACCTGCTATGTCATAGCGCTGGCTCCCCAGTTGTGGCTTTTACAAATGAGGGTGCTATGCACATTATTGTACAAGATCCCTGTTGAGTGGCAGGCATTTCGCCTAGAGGTTGAAATCCCTGCATCAGAGCACTGGTTTGATACCCAGATCTGGCTCCCAGCTCCAGCTTTCTGCCGAGGTGAGCCCTAGGAACCAGCAGTGAGGGTCAGGAAGTTGGGTTCAAGCTACCCAGTGGGAGAACTAGATTGAGTTACTACCTCCGACCCCCAACCCTCACCACTGGGGAAGTGAGCCAGTAGGTGGGGCCTGGCATGTGCACACAATCTCAATCTCTCTCTCTCTCTCTCTCTCAAATGTATGTTTTCATTTCTCAGGTAAATTCTAGGAGTAGACTTGCTAGGTCACACAGATGCATGTTTGGTTTTATAAGAAGCTTCCAGTTTCCAGTGCGTTTGCACCCTTCACACTCTGCACCCTGAGGGAGCTCCAGCTGTCACGCAGCCTCCCAGCCCAGCGAGGAGAAGCGGCGTCTTGTGGTCGCATTTGCATTTTCTGGTGTATCTGGACACCACTTCCTGCACAGGCTGCTTTGCACTTTGCTATTTATATACCTTCTTATGAGTTCTTTCAGTGTGTGGCTCGTCTTTCCCCTTTTATTACTGACTTGTAGGAACTGTATATATACACACATATATACCTGTATTCACACATAGTTTGGAATACGTACTGTCAATATTTTTCCCCAGTGTCTGGCTTGGAAATTCTGTTTTTAATAGCTTCTTTGAGAAACAGAAGTTTTAAGTTCCCACAGTACTCTGGGTACTCAGGCTGGTGGAGTGGACAGTTTCTCAGTCTCGCCACCATGGGGGCTGCTCTTGGGTAAGAGCCGTGAGACCGAATTGGTCTGAGGCCTTTCTCTCCCAAGTCTTGGCACTCTGCTTTCTGTTTTTCTCCAGGACCTTCTCGAAGGAACCTAGAGTTTTTAGTGGTTTCCCAAGCAGGGAGGAGCTAATAGTATTTATTTATTTGAAAGTTAGAGTTACACAGAGAGAGAGAAGGAGAGGCAGAGAAAGAGAGAAAGAGAGAGAGAGGTCTTCCATCCACTGGTTCACTCCCCAGTTGGCTGCAACGGCCAGAGCTGCGCCGATCCAAAGCCAGGAGCTTCTTCCAGGTCTCCCACATGGGTGCAGGGGCCCAAGGGCTTGAGTCATCTGCTCTCCCAGGCCATAGCAGAGAGCTGGACCAGAAGTGGAGCAGCCAGGTCTCGAACTGGCGCCCATATGGGATGCAGCACTGGAGGCAGCGGTTTTACTCGCTATGCCACAGCGCTGGCCCCTTAAGTCTTTTTCTATAAACATTTTACCTTTCACATTTATGCCCTAATGATTTATTTTTCTATGTGTAAATAATAATTTCTAATACAGATCTCTAATTTCTTTTGTGTGGATAATTACATCCTTTGCTCTATGACCCATAATTCCAACTCCCAACATTTCTTTTGAAAGATAAGCAGTGGCCAGCGTCACGGCTCAATAGGCTAATCCTCCACCTTGTAGCGCCGGCACACCAGGTTCTAGTCTCGGTCAGTGCGCCGGATTCTGTCCTGGTTGCTCCTCTTCCAGTCCAGCTCTCTGCTGTGGCCCCGGGAGTGCAGTGGAGGATGGCCCAAGTGCTTGGGCCCTGCACCCCATGGGAGACCAGGAGAAGCACCTGGCTCCTGGCTTCGAATCAGCGCGGTGCGCCGGCCGCAGCAGCCATTGGAGGGTGAACCAACGGTAAAGGAAGACCTTTCTCTCTGTCTCTCCCTCTCACTGTCCACTCTGTCTGTCAAAAAAAAAAAAAAAAAAAAAAAAAAAAAGCAGTATGTCGTTTAAAGATTTGTTTATTTGAAAGGCAGAGTGATAACAAAGAGATACCTTCCATCCACTGATTCACTCCACAAATGGCCAGGACTGGGCTAGACTGGGCTCCAAAGCCAGGAGCCTGGTGCTCCAGCCTGGTCGGTCTCCCGGTGGTAAGGAAATAGACTGGCAGAGGTGGAGTGTGGACTGTAGACTGTAAACAACACTCCCATAGTGGGCACTGGCGAGCACAAGTTGTGGTTTAACCCCCTGTGGCACACCGAAGGCCCGATTTTCTAATTTATAGACTTTGTTTCAGATATTGCCAGTTGCCCATGTGGGTACAGGGCCCAGTCCAGGATCACGCATTTACTTGTGTTTGGCTGCCATTTCTCTTTAGTTTCCTTTGATCCGGAACAGCCCCTCAGTCTCCGTGTCTCATAGCTGTGTCATTGTTGCAAGGTGCCGTCAGCTCTTGTCCCTGACGATGCATTTCAGGCAGAACGTCCCAGAACTGATGTGATCTTTCTGTGTCACATCCCAGGCGTGTGAAACTCATTTGAGCCATTACTGGGGATGGTAACTTTGATCACTTGGTTAATGCAAGGTCTGCTGGTTCCTCTACTGAAAAGTTACTGTTTTTCCTCTCTGTAATTAATATGTATCTTGATTCAATTTAAAATATTTGTAGGTCTCTTCAGATTTTGTTTTTTTTTATCTTCAGTTATTTTTAGGAAGATGAGATAGGAAGACTTCTCAAAGGAGTTATTTGGTTTTTGTTAAAGATTTATCCATTTGTTTGAGAGGCAGAATTACAGAGAGAGAGAGAGAGAGAGAGAGAATGAGAGAGGTCTTCCATCAGCTGGTTCCCTCCCCACATGGCTCAACATTTGGAGCTGGAATGATGCGGAGCCAGGAACTTCTTCCAGATCTCCACACAAGTGCAGGGGCTCAAGGACTTAGGCCATCTTCCACTGCTTTCACAGGCCATAGCAGAGAACTGTCTTGGAAGTGGAGCAGCTGGGACTCAAACCAGTGCCCATATGGGATGCTGGTGCCGTAGATAGAGGCTTTACCCATTATGCCACAGTGCCGGCCCTGAGTTATTTGATTTCAACAGAGGTTATAAAGGAGTAAGCAGAGACACCTGGAGCAAATTGACGCCAATTAGCGCCTTTATCCATGTTTTGACTTTTAGAACTCTGATATATTTTTGCTTTTCTTGGCTTGCTTGCAGTTATGTCCTTTACCACTAGAGGGTAGTGTTAACTGTCTTAGAACTTCATGTTCTCAGGCTGCTGAAAAAATGGAATTGAATTGTGTAGTGATATTTCTTTAAATGAGATTCTACCTGTATGAAGTGGTAAAATTCTTCCAGGCATTTTGAATGATTGTTTCTCATAATGTACTCAATATATTTATGAAATAACATAACTTGTGAAAGTTTGGTAGACCATAAAATACTGACATATTTGACAGATTTTTAAAAATGTCTACAGCTGTAGACAAAGCTGGGTGCTAGATAACTAACAGGCAGTAGAACCTCTGGCTGGCGCCGCGGCTCACTAGGCTAATCCTCTGCCTAGCGGCGCCGGCACACCGGGTTCTAGTCCCGGTTGGGGCGCCGGATTCTGTCCCGGTTGCCCCTCTTCCAGGCCAGCTCTCTGCTGTGGCCAGGGAGTGCAGTGGAGGATGGCCCAAGTCCTTGGGCCCTGCACCCCATGGGAGACCAGGAGGAAGCACCTGGCTCCCGGCTCCTGCCATCGGATCAGTGCGGTGCGCCGGCCGCGGCTGCCATTGGAGGGTGAACCAACGGCAAAGGAAGACCTTTCTCTCTGTCTCTCTCTCTCACTGTCCACTCTGCCTGTCAAAAAAAAAAAACCTTGTCTCACATTTACGGGAATCGAGAATGGGTTGGTGCTCGGACGCCTGGTGGGCGGAGCTCTAACAGGCCGTGTCCTGCCTTTCCCCAGCACGAGCAGGGCTCCGTGGAGATGTTCGAGCACCTGGTGAGCGCTAACGGGCTCAGAGCTGTCATGGAGCACTACGGTCTCGTCCCTGAAGAAGATATTTACTTCATCAAGGAGCAAATCAAGGGGCCGCTCGAGTCACCCGAGGACGAGGCCACGGTACGTGGTGGACGGCGCAAGCCACGCTGCTTTCCGTCTGCTTCCTTGGCTGTTGGGGACCAGGTGAAAGAATGTGTTAGATATTTCTACCGTTTCATGTAAGACAGCGAAAGACACTCTTTCCTGCCTCTTTTAACTGAGCTCTTTGGTGTCACCCTCCAAATTGGAAATATTTGTAAGGCCCTTTTAAATGAGCGTGTTCTGCTGTATTCTGTGTAGAAACCTAAGGTAACTGGGACTGGGACTGTGAAAGTGTGCGTCCAGTTATTCCATTAAAATTCGCATTTGAAACATTTAGACATGTGAAGACCTAGAGAAAAATGGAGCTGCTGCAGAGCACAACCTGTTCTGTTTTCTTTTTGATATTTTGTGTTTAAAAATGTATTTATTTATTTATTTATTTATTTATTTTGAAAAGCAGAGGGAGAGCTTCCGTCCACTGGTTTACTCCCCAAATGACTGCAACAGCCAGGGCTGGGCCAGGGTCGGGCCAAGCTGATACCAAGAGCCCAGAACTCCATCCAGGCCTCACACGTTGGTGCCAGGGACTAATTTTTTTTTTTTTCTTCTTCTTCTTCTTCGTTTATTTGAAAGGCAGAGTTACAGAGAGAAAGAAAGAAAGATCCATTTGCTGGTTCACTCCTCAAATGGCCGCAAAGGCCAGGGTTCACCAGCTCAAAGCCAGGGGCCTGTAACTCCATCTGGCTCTCCGACTTGGGGAGCAGGGGCCAAAGGACTTGAACCATCTGCCATCTGCTGCTGCTCTCCCAGGTGCGTTAGCAGGAAGGTGGATTGGAAGTGGATCAGCCGAGTCTCGAACCCCTGGGGGCGGCACAGGTGGTGGTGGCTTATCGCGTTGGCGCCATGACACCCGCCCTGAGACTCAACGTGCTTGAGGCAGCTGAATCAGAAGCAGAGCACCAAGGGCTAGAACCAGCCCCAGCAGCAGCTCAGGTGCTGTGCCAAATGCCCACACCTTTTTTTTTTTTTAATAAAAAAAATAAGTTTGGAAAATAATTTTCTCCCGAGGTTTTTAGGGTTATTTTTTCCCCACAGTATATTCGAGCATATTTGTAAGATGTGAGATAAAGAAGAGGACTCTTCAGTAAATGTCCTGTTTCCAAAATTGAACTCAGATGCTTTGATATCACTTCTACTAGTTGTGTAGAATACATAAATTCAAGGATCATCATTTAAAGAATGTTCTTTTTTTTTCTTTTTTTAAAGATTGTATTTATTTGAGAGGTAGAGTTATGGAGAGAGGGAGGGAGAGACAGAGAGAAAGGTCTCCCATCCTTTGGTTCACTTGCCAGTTGACTACAAGAGCTGGAGCTGGGCAAATCTGAAGTCAGGAACCAGGAGCTTCTTCTGGGTCTCCCACACGGGTGCAGGAGCCCAAGCCCTTGGGCCATCTTCTACTGCTTTCCCAGGCCTTAGCAGGGAGCTGGATCAGAAGAGGAACAGCCGGGACACAAGCCAGCACCCATATGGGATGCTAGCACTGCAGGCGGAGGCTTAGCCCACTATGCCATAGCACTAGCCCCAAAAAATATGTGTTTTTTTTTTTAGGATTTATTTATTTACATGAAAGGGTTACACAGAGAGAGAAGGAGAGGCAGAGAGAAAGAGAGAGGTCTTCCATCCTCAGTTGGCCGCAACAGCCAGAGCTGCACCGATCCAGAGCCAGGAGCCAGGAGCTTCTTCCAGGTCTCCCACTCATGTGCAGGGGCCCAAGGACTTGAACTGGCACCCATATGGAATGCCGGCACTGGAGGCAGCAGCTTTACCCACTATGCCACAGCGCCAGCCCCCAAAATATGTTCTTACTAGTTCAAAGTTTCATCTTATATCTTCAAAAAACTTAATCAAGACGTTGTTGTTGTAAGATTGCCGTGACCCTTGCAGTGGCACTGAAGGTGAGCAGGAGCAGGACTCCATGTCCCAGCGCTGCTTTCCCGGTTGCATTAGTTTAGGGCTCCAGCAGAGGAGGGAAGAGTGGGCCCGGCTCACTTCTCTCCCACTGCCCGTCGACCGTTCATAGTTCACAGGTCCACGTCATCGCTCTGCTGCACGCAGATTTGCTGCCCCTCCTACACGTCCAATGTGTGTTGTTTTTGTTTCTGTCCTGTCTTCCAGTGGCCCTATAAAGGGCGCCCTAGAGAGAAAAGCTTCCTGTATGAGATCGTGGCCAACAAGAGAAACGGCATCGATGTTGACAAATGGGATTATTTTGCCAGGTAGGCCCTGAGCACTTCTGAAAAGTTGGCTGCGGCTCTTGGTAGATTTCGTGTTGGTGTTGCAAGTCTGCTCCGGCCTCTCCCTAGGGACTGCCATCACCTGGGAATCCAGAACAACTTTGATCACAAGCGCTTCATCAAGTTTGCCCGCGTCTTAGAAGTAGAAAATAAGAAACGGATTTGTACCAGAGACAAGGTGAGTGTGTCCAGGGCACAAGTGAGAGGCCAGCTCCTGGTCTGAAATCTGGATGTACGCATTCCACAGCCTGGAAAAACTGGTGGGAAGCGTGAACCTGTTTACTTACTATGTATTTGTAAGTAGGAGAAGGCTCTTCTCACCTCTACTGCAGTGTTAATAGTGAGACACTTTAAATCTACACTCACTTTTATCTTGTGCTGGATACTATCTTACATGCCTTAAAAGAATTAACCCAATTCTCAAAACCCTATGAGATAGATACTATTATTATGTCATTTAGAACGTGAGTGATTTGAGGCACAGAGAAGTGGCAGAGCTGGAATTTCATCCCCAGAAAGATCATTCCAGAATGTTCCGGGATAGCTGAAGTGTGATGACAGGTAGCTGAAGGGTGGCACGGTATTGTGGCACAGAATAAGGAGCACACACAGAGCCCCAGTTTGCTGAAGTTATTGTAGTGTTCAAAGATGTGTTTGCGGTGGGCGTTTGGCACAGCCACCAAGACGCCATGTGGGTGCCCACATCCTACACGCGGGGCTGATACACAGCAGGAGATGGCTCAGGCACGTGGGTCTTCCCTCCCAGGTGCAAGACTCAGCCTTCTACCTAGCTCAGCCCCAGCTGTGTCAGACATTTAAGGAATGGGCCAGCACGTGGACAGCCTCTGTTTCTGTCTCTCTTCTCTGTCTTTCACGTAAATAAATTCAATCATTTAAAAAAAATGTGCTTAAGATACCTAAGGCAGAACCTGTCACAGAGTTAGAACACACAATAGACTTCAGTTTAGTTTACTAAGAGTGAACTTTGTGCTTACTAGCCCGCCTGCCTGTTTGGGTAGTGGGTTCAGTGGTCTAGGAACTGGCCTGGCACGCAGCCCCCCTGCCAGCTGCTCACCTCCCCAACCCCCCACCCCCGTCTCCTGGCGAGGATCCGTCTCCATGAACGTGTGTTGTGTGTTTTCCCGCAGGAGGTTGGGAATCTCTATGACATGTTCCACACACGCTACTCCTTACACCGCAGAGCCTACCAGCACAAGGTTGGCAACATCATCGACACAATGTAAGCACATTGCATCACTCCCCTGTGGCCTTTCCCTGAGGATCTGCAGAGATAGCAGTCAGCCCTGAGCAGAGCTGAGATTTTCAGACAAATTCAAGGGAATTTAATTGAGTAAGCCTAGGGTGGTTGCCTTAAAAAAAAAAATCTAGCATCAAGTAAACTTAGTTGGAGCAGGAGGAGGAAAACAGACAAGGGGTAGACAAGGGGAGGGGGCTCGGCTCAGGTTCTTGAGGTCCCCACCCCACCGTGGTCCTCCGGGTGGTGGGCCATGGGCCGTGCGCCATACGCCGTGACTGACCTTCTGGGACTAGTGATGGGAAGTGATGGTGAGGATGAGGATCCACGTCTGTCCTTGTACCGTCCAATGTTTATCAAAAGCCGTGGCACAAGTAAAACCGCCTGGAATGTTCCCTCTTGTCCCTGCTCTACTCAGAAGCGTACAGAAAACTACAGCCAGATCTATAATTAACTCGGAGACCCACACGGAGTTACCAACACTGGGGACAAGTCGCTTAATTCCGTGTTTCTAAAGTAGCTTTCACTTGACTTATTTTAGACCTCTAGTATTCGTTTTTGTATTTGTGTTAAGAAAGAGACTTACCTTTTCAGTTTTTCTCCTTCCACTGTCACGAGCAGAGTTGTAGGGATGCCTTCTCCCCTGTCTGTAGTTTCTGTTTAGTGCAATTAATTCAGGAAGTCAGATCTCGCTTCAAAGCCTGGCACTGCTTCCTCTTAACTCGGTTAAATGGAAACTACTTCATTGCTGCATTTCTGCAAAGTCTTTTACAGGTGGGCGGCCACATTAAACGATAGAACGTGGCTGGAGCCCGGACGCGGTGCTGGCACCCAGCACACTGCAGACCACCATGCGCTTACTTAGTGTGATTAAGAGGCAGGTGTCTTATAAAGCATCACACCCTAAGATTGCTCTTCCTTAAGGAAGGTATAAAGCAAAGATTGGAAATTTCTGTAAGCGTAGCTGTTCCCAAAACGTGCTTTAGGATTACAGATGCTCTCCTCAAGGCGGACCCCTACATAAAGATCACAGGTGCAGCCGGAAAGACGTACAGCATTTCCACGGCCATCGAGGACATGGAAGCCTTCACCAAGCTCACAGGTGAGGCCTGCGTGCCGGAGATGGCTCCTCTCCGAGCGTGAGCTGTCCCTGCATTGCACAGGAGTTGGTTCTCAGACATTCACACGTGTTTTGGTTTTTCAGATGATTATATACTTTTGGATTTGAGTTTTATCTCTGTCTTACACTAACAAGTGACCCTGGCAATGTAATTTAACCTCTTTGAAATTTGAATTCCTTGTCTACAAGATGAGGGTAGTGATGTCTCTCACAGGTTTGTCGTGGTACTCAAATGAGTGTAGCACCCAGGAGAGAGTCGGCACGTAACTACTGAGCATTCTCTATTATTCAGCTTACGCTACACCTGAACTACTACCAGATAATGTCCAAAAAGAAGAAATGCCCGCTTCACCGTGTTTTCAGTGGAAAACTCGGATGCCAGGGACGTCTCTTTATACTTACGAGGAACAGCGTCTGCCGCTTAGGGTGGGAAGGAAAGTGATTAGACTTTGGCACTGCTTCTCCCATCCGGGAAAGTGTGTGGTGAAGAGTAAAGATCAGTAAAGCAACAGAAGCCGCCGCGGGTTAGGCCGCCACTTGCTGTATCTGCGTTCCTATTGGAGTCCTGGCTGCTCTGCTTCCAATCAGCTCCCTGCTAGGGCAGCTGGGAAGGTGGTGGAAGGCGGTCCAAGTGCTTGGGTCTCTGCCAACTGCGTGGGAGACCAGGATGGAGTTCCTAGTTCCTGCTTTCCACCTGGTCCAAACCCAGCCACTGTGGCATTTGGAGAGTGAAGCAGCAAAAGGAAGGGGTGTGTGTGTGTGTGTGTATGTGTATTACTCTACCTTTCAAATAAAAATAAACTTTAAAAAAAGAAAAATAAGCCACGCGACCTAAGACATAGCTGAATCACTCTGCAGTAGCTTCTTGTCTCAGAAGTGGTCCCGGCATGGCCAGGGCACCAGTTGCACACTTTTTTTTTTTTCTTTAAAGATTTATTTTAATTATTTGAAAGAGTTACAGAGAGAGGCAGAGACAGAGAAAGAGATCTTCCATCCACTGGTTCACTCTCCAGATGGTCGCAACGGCAGGAGCTGTGCCGATCAGGAGGCAGGAGCTTCTTCCTGGTGTCCCACATAGGTGCAGGGGCCCAAGGACTTGGGCCATCCTCCACTGCTTTCCTAGGCTGTAGCAGAGAGCTGGATCAGAAGAGGGGCAGCTGGGACTAGAACTGGTGCCCCTAAGGGATGCGAGAGCTTCAGGCCAGGGCTTTAACCGGCTGCACCACAGCGCTGGCCCCAATGCTCATATTTTTAATCATTTTCTAGCCATAACTAAATAAAAATCAGAGAAATACTAACTCTTCATATTAAATATCTGTGCACAGTGAGAATATATCAGTGTTTAAGGCTTATAATGTAACACCTGAGTTGACATCTTGCTTGTTAATTTATCTAGGTTGGATAGTCAGAGTTCAGGGGATGAGGTCATTGTTTTGATGTTTTGTCGTCACAGCATCATAGATAGCATCGTAGAAAACTAGTCTGTCCTCGCTATGTTGATAGGAATAGAGAAGGCTGTGAGAACAATCCGAGCAAGGTGGTGTATTTTTCATTTCTATTCATAGTGAAGTGATGCTGTATTTTGATATTATCTTCAACCCTTCATGAGAAGCCAGTTCTAAAAATTCACCTTGAGGTTATGTTTACCTTGAGACTTTCTTTGTGCAAAGACACAAATTCTGGATTTTATGCACTTTAGGGTTAACTGACAAAGTAACATGAAGCTATCCTATTTTAATATGCCCCTGCGGTGCCCACAGGCCACAGCTGTCACTCACGGCTCCATGCACCCACGTGGCTTTCTCCGTGTCCCGCGAGGCAAGTGCACTGACCGTGGCCTCGGGTACCGCAGCAGCGTCACACTGTTGAGAATGGTTTCCAGTGCCTGCCGCCCATCGCCATCCTTATCTGTGGCGAGGTTGACCGTCTCCAGTCAGGCACCGTCCTGTAGGTCACTCACACTCGGTGGCACCGATGGGAACTTGCCTTGCCTCATCTACTCCAGACAGAGGAATCCCAGACAGGAGATGAGGTCACATTTTTGTGCTCTTGCTATAAGAGTGTGGAAGAACAGCATGTGACCTGTACAGCTTTCTTCATTTAATATGAGGCAGTCTTACATTCCTTGCATATTATCATTTTTAAAAAATATTTATTTATTTGAAAAGCAGAGTGACAGAGAGAGAGAGGCAAAGTAAACCATCTGTTGGTTTACTCTCCAAATGCCCACAGTGACCAGGCCAAAGCCAAGAGCCAGCAATTCCATCTGGGTCTCCTGCATGGATGGCTGAACCCAAGTACTTGAGCCAGCGTCTGCTGCCTCCCAGGAGCAGGAAGCTGGGTCAGAAGCAGAGTGCTGGGGATGTGGACCTTCACTCGGCAGGGGGTGGCATCCCCAGCAGTGTCACTGTGCTTGTGCCTGTTCCCTCGCATTTGGTCCTGAGCGGTCACACAGTCCTTCTTGTCCTCAGCCACCAAGGGGAAGCAGGACTGCAAGGATCCAAGGTGACTCAGCTTACGTTTAAGGATCTGAAGTTTTGGGACCAATGCTAGTAACCCAGTGATGCAGTGGGTTAAACCACCAGTTGCAGTGCCAGCATCCCAAATTGGAGCGCCAGTTCAGGTCCTGCTGCTCCGCTTCCAATCCAGCTCCCTGCTGATGTGCCCGGGAAGACAGTGGAAGGAAGTGCTTGGGCCTCTGCCACTCGTATAGGAGACCAGGGTGGAGTTCCTGGCTCCTGACTTTGGCCTGGCCCAGCCCTGGCTTGCGGCCATTTGGAGAGTGTAGCAGTAGACGGAAGATGTCTGTTTCTCTCTCCTTTCTGTCTCTCACTCTGCCTTTCAAATAAATAAAAAATAAAAATCTTCATGTATATCTATTTGTTTTTTAGAATGCTTTTCCATGTTTCATTGTGAAATATTAAGAACATACAATAATTATCAGTGAATTTTATAGTGAGGATACAGACAAGGTCAAAGTGTGGGCCAATTTAGAAAATTATCTGCCCTTTTCTGAAGAGTCAGCATCATAAAAGATAAGAGAATTATCTTCTAAAGATTATTTATTTGAAAGAGTTACAGAGAGGCAGAGGCAGAGAGGGAGAGAGGTCTTCCACCTGCTGGTTCACTCCCCTATTGGCCGCAATGGCTGGAGCTGCGCCCATCCGAAGCCAGGGGCTTCTTCCAGGTCTCCCATGTGGGTGCAGGGCCGCAAGGACTTGGGCCATCGTCTACTGCTTTCCCAGGGTATAGCAGAGAGCTGGATGGGAAGTGGAGCAGCTGGGACTAGAACTGGTGCCCATATGGGAAGCCGGCACTGCAGGCAGTGGCTTTACCCCCTACGCCACAGTGCCGGCCCATCATTTTCTTTTAAAAACTAGCAACAGAGCAGCGCCGTCTGTGTACTCGTTGCCCAGCTCAGCAGTCGCTGACTGCGCTGCAGTCTTGTTTTACCTCCGTGCTTCCCGGCTCACACATGCAGTCCCTGAAGTGCATCCAGACAGCAGACTTTCCCACATCAGTCGTTTTTGTTTTAATTTCACGCTGCTGACGGCGTCATGTGCCTGCATTTGTAAACCGCTTCTTGGAATTGTGTCAGAGACAGCAGGCTGTAAGTCTTTAAATCTCGTTTTCATTTACTATCACTGGAATTTCATCCACTTGACAGATAATATTTATCTGGAGATCTTATACTCCACGGATCCCAAATTGGCTGCAGCACAAGAGGTTCTAAAAAATATTGAATACCGCAAGCTCTACAAGTACGTGGGCGAGACCCAGCCGGGGAGCCCGAAGAAGAAGATTAAGAAGGTGAGCTGGGAGGCATCCGTCCACTGCTGAGAGCTGGCCGCGAGCTGTGTCCCCGGGGGAAGCCGTTAGCCTGGCCTGGCCCGGCCCGGGACTGTGAGCTCGTCACGGTTCTTTTCAGTTCGACTTTACAGAAATGCAGTATTTTCAGGTCTGTTTCACAAATGGGGAAACTGAGGCAAGGGTGAGGCTAAAGAGCGTGTTCATGGAAGCACAGGAGTCAAACCCAGAGCTGCCTGACTCCAAACCTTTGCGTTCCCATCCCTGAAATGAGCGGGGCCTCGAGGTTTGTCTTGACCCAAGCTCAGGAAAACCAGTAGAAGGGGAAGGGCCAGGCTCCTGCCGCCGCGCCTGCCTCCGTTCACGATCTCCCTCTGCCTCCTGTGGAAGGTTCTCTGTACCCCAGAGCCACATAGGAGTCGGGTGACAAGCACACCCCTCACAACCACTGCTGGGGTTACACTTGCTCCTGTTCTGTCAGTAGGTTAATGCTGCATTTTTCTCAAAATGCGAACATTTTATTATGAAAATAACTTTGTGTACAAACATGCTACAGGTGGGGGCTGTATTTGTTAAGAACGCCTCTAGCTATGTCTGTAGTTAAGTGCCGTCCCAGAGAGGGTACCCGTTCACAGCACAAACACCCGGTGCCAAAGTGCTGGGTTCTCACACGGGACGCCCGTCCTCTCCAGGAAGACTACGAACAGCTTCCCAAGGAGGTCGCCGACGCCAAGCCTAGCGACGTGCCGCTGGAGGCTGAGATGAAGGCGGAAGATTTCATCGTGGACGTAAGTGGCTAGGCCGGGGATTTACCGAAAGGCGAAATCATTCAGGATAGAGCGCCTCCTGTTAGAAAACTCGCACGCGTTTATTATGGAAACCTGGGGAAACAAGGAAAGGCAGAGGAAGGGATTCACTGTGGCTCAGCGAACCAGCGTTGGTGACCAGTTTTCAGATGGCGTGGTGCGGCGGGTTAGGCTGCCACTTGCCGTGCCAGCACCCCGTGTCAGGGTGCTGGTTGGAGTGTGACTACTCCATTTCTGATACAGCTTCCTGTTAATGCACCTGCGAAGGCAGAAGAAGATGGCCCAGGGCGTGGGCCCCTGCCACCAGAGTGGGAGACCAGGATGGAGCTCCTGGCTCCTGGCGTCAGACTAGCACAGGCCTGGCTGTTGCAGCCATTTGGGGAATGAACCAGAAGGTGGAAGATTCTCTTTCTCTCTCTCTCTCTCTCTCTCTCCCCCCTCTCCCTCCCTCCCTCTCCCACATCCTTCCCTCTCCCTCCCTCTCCCACCTCCTTCTCCCTCCCTCCCTCCCTCTCTCCCCCCCCACCTTTTCCTCTCTATTGCTTTCTGCCTTTCAAATTAAATAAATAAATAAATAGTTCTTTAAAATAATAATAAAAGCTGCTTTGGGGTATTTTGCCAATATTTTTAATGTAGTTGTCATGTGATATATAAAACATATTTGTTGATTTAAAATCTTTTTTGATCGCAATATTTGCCAATTATTCATTTTTATTTTTATTTTATTTAAAAGAGAAAGAAGAAAAGACACAGGCAGACAGAGATCTCCTGTCTGCTGGTTCATTCCCCAAAAAGCCACAACAGCTAGATCTGGGCCTGGCCAAAACCAAAAGCTGACCCAGGTCTCCCTGCATGGGTGGCAGGAACACAATCATTTGAATCATTAGCTCTGCCTCCCAGGGTCTGCATTAGCAGGAAGTTGGATTCAGGAGCCAGAGCCGGGAATTGAACCCAGGCTCTGTGATATGGGAAATGGGCATCTGCACTGCTTGGGGAAACACCTGCCCCTTCTTTTTCCTTCTTTCCTTCCTTCCTTTCTTCTTCCTTTTCCTTTTTCTTTTTCTTTCTTTCTTTCTTTTTTTTTTTTTTTTTTTTTTGAAGTTTTGTTTATTGGAAAGGCAGCATTACAGAGAAAGTGTTCATTCAAATGACCGCAAGGGCCAGAGCTGAGTCAGGTCAAAGCCAGGAGCCTGGGACTCCATCCAAGTCTCCCACTTGCAGGGGAGTACAGGGGTACAGGGGCCCAAGCACTTGGGCCATCTCCTGCTTTCCCAGGCACATTAGCAGGGAGTTGGATTGGAAGTGGAGCAGCCAGGACTGGAACCAGTGCCCACATGGGATGCTGGCTATAGCACCATGCCAGCCCCTTCTTTTACTCTTTTATTTCTGGTTTAACTCCTGAGCCTTTTGCTGTGGCCGTCACTGAACCAACAGCACTGTCGCCTGGACAGCCAGTGACTTCCTGTGGATGAGCAGTTTCAGTGCCCTCTGCTTCTGGGCTGCTCTTCCCCCTGGGATCTTCTTTCTGCCTGGCCCTGGTTGACTCCTACTCACCCAGGGAAACCACCTCCCAGGCAGACACTCCTGGTCATTCCCTGCGCCCCAGCTGCCGCAGGTCTGTTAGCTTCAGACCCCCTGTGCTTTCCTGGGGCAGCTCCGAGAGCAGCTGCAGTTCTTCACTTCCGCTCCTTCCTGTCGACCCTCAGGAGGGGCCGTGCGGCCTGGAGGGCCTGGGCTTGTATCGGAGGTGCTGTCTTTCCAGTGCCCGCCAGTGTCTGTCACATAGTGGGTGCTGCCTTTACACTGTGCTTCCCTCGAACACACCCATTTCCTGTCCCCCGGATTCGTCTGGGCGACTGCTGAGCGTGGCCACGTCCCAGGTGTTTGTATTCCACCCTGGGGAGCTTTGTTCCGTTTCTCCCGCGGCCCTGACCACCCTGAATTCAGTTTTCGTGGTCGTTAGGGGACTGCTTTTGTTCGTTTATTAAAGGTCATCAACATAGATTATGGGATGCAAGACAAGAATCCGATTGATCACGTTCGCTTCTACTGTAAGGCTGAGCCCAACAAACCCGTCATGATCACCAAAGGCCAGGTAAGCACGTGGTGAAGTCAGTGTGCTGCAGCGGTGTTGATGAGGCCGCGGGAACCGGCGCTGTGCAGGCCGGCAGAGCTCCAGGGAGAGCAGACAGGAAAGCAGACGCGTGTCTCGGCCGTGAGGCTGGACCACGTCAGATAGGCCGAGCGCCAGGGACAGTGCAGTTTTCGGTGGGGAGGGTTGGTTACCAGTGGGCAGGAGCTGTAAGTGTGAAGTCACGTAAAGGAAATTGTGTGTTTGCACGTATTCCATACGTGAGAGCCATCTGCTGTATGTAAATCTTTACGCCTTTTACTAATGGACGTAAAATCATGGGACATTCAGCAACGTGGCGTTTCCCTTGAATTGTCTCTTCGGATGGTAACTGAGATAAAACAGGAAGCAACAGCGGTGCCGCGGGGGCTGGGGCCCGGCTGAGGTCTCTGACGTCAGAGTTCAGGGTGACAGTGAGATCATCTCTTCCTCAACAAGGTTTCGCAGTTTCTGCCAGAAATATTCGCTGAGCAGCTGATCCGCGTGTACTGTAAGAAGACGGACAAACAGAGCTTGTTCGCCGCAAGACAGCACTTCGTCCACTGGTGCGCCATCCGCGACTTCACCAAGCCGCAGGTGCGTGGCTTCACATACGCAGACTTTGCGCGTGTTTTTATTTTTAAGTGTAACAAAAAAAATCCCTTCTACCCGCTGAAGAAGTTCTCAGTTACATCAGAGCCATCTGGTCGTGATGTTAAAGCTAGCCTTTGGCTCTTGTGCAGTGAGCTTCTGCCGCACCAGTCAGGAGTGGGGCCCTGCTCGTCCTCGTGGTCCCCGTAACAGAAGTGGCAGGTGGCGCCTGTGCGGAGCGCGCTGTGCAGGGCTCTGGGGCGTCTCAGCCCCTCCTGCCTTGGCGCTCCCGTCGGCAGAGAAGGTTACCAGACTCCCATGAGCGCTTCACTGCCTGAGGCTACATACAGCTGACCACAGGTTGTTTTGTTTTGGAGCTTTTTTTAAGATTCATTTTATTTTGTTTTGAAGGCAGAGTTAGGGAGAGACAGACATCTTCCATATGCTGGTGCACTCCCCAGGTGGCTGCTACAGCTGGGGCTAGGCCAGGCTGAAGCCAGGAGCTTCATCCAGGTCTCCCATGTGGCTACAGGGGCCCAAGCACTTGGGCCATCCTCTGCTGCTTTCCCAAGCACATAACAGGGAGCTGGATCAGAAGTGGAGCAGCAGGCAGAACTTGAACTGGTACCCATATGGGATACTGGCATTGCAGTCAGCTGCTTAACCTGCTACGCCACAGTGCCGGCCCTAACTAAGTTTTTGTTTTTTAAAGATTTATTTATTTATTTATTTGAAAGAGTTACACAGGCCGGCGCTTCGGCTCACTAGGCTAATCCTCTGCCTGCGGTGCCAGTACTCCGGGTTCTAGTCCTGGTTGCTCCTCTTCCAGTCTAGCTCTCTGCTGTGGCCCGGGAAGACAGTGGAGGATGGCCCAGGTGCTTGGGCCCTGCACCTGCATGGGAGACCAGGAGAAGCACCTGGCTCCTGGCATCGGATCGGCGTAGTGCACCGGTCATAGTGGCCATTTGGGAGGTGAACCAAGGAACCTTTCTCTCTGTCTCTCTCACTGTCTAACTGCCTGTCAAAAAAAAGTTACACAAAGAGAGAAAGAGAGGCAGAGATAGAGAGGTCTTCCTTCTGGTTTTCTCAGCAAATGGCCAGAGCTGTGCTAATCTGAAACCAGGAAACGGGAGCTTCCTCCAGGTCTCCCACATGGGTGTGGGGGCCCAAGGACTTAGCAGGCCAAGCAGAGAGCTGGATCAGAAGTGGAACAGTCAGGACTCGAACCGGCACCCATATGGGATGCTGGCACTGCAGGTGGTGGCTTTACCCATTATGCCACAGTGCTGGACCCATCAACAAGTTGCTTTTTTAAAAAATTATTTGAAAGGCAGAGAGAGAGAGAGAGAGATCTTCCATCCACTGACTCACTCTCAAATGGTCACAACAGCCAGGGCTGGGCCAGGCTGAAGCCAGGAGCCTAGCACTCTATCCAGGTCTCTCATGTGGGTGGCAGAGGCCCAAACACTTGGGCCATTTTCTGCTGCTTTCCCAGGCGCATTAGCAAGGAGCTCGTAGCTCCTTGGTCCCGTGCGTCTCCCTCTCACTGAGGATGGCGAACCCGCGAGGCCACAGTAGTGTCAGCAGCAATGCCTGGCAGGTGCTGTGGGGTGGGACAGGCACAGAGCCTGAGTGGAGGGAAATGAGATTTCCCTGGGTGTGGGTGGCTGGCAGAGATGGACTTCAGGAACCGTGGAGGCTGAGAGCAGAGGAGTGAGCAGGGGCCAGCCAAGGTGGCGCAGGGGCTATGCTGAGCGGGGCACCAGCGGGGCGCCTTGGAGGAAGGGGCTGGGCTTTTCTGCAGAGTCCTGTGAGCTAAGAGCATGGAGAGCTATGGGGGGCTCATGAGCAGAGAGTGCATTTTTAAGTTTGCATTTGTCAAATACATTAGAGTTGAACTCAGGGTGAAAATAAGGCATTTTGGTAGCAATAGAGATGAGTTTGAGGCCAGACAGTGCTGGGAGAGAGCTAGATCTTCAAGGATGACTGTCATGGCCATCCAACACCCACGAGGGCAGACGGCACCGGGTCAGACCCCGTGTACTTCTGCAGGAGGAATTTCACGCAGGGGAGGAGACAGGAAAGTGCAGAGCTGAATGAGCAACCAGGACCGGCGACAACTAGGTTAGAAAGACCCAGGGAGCAGGTGCGGGGTCCAGGAGCGGCAGCCACCTGCAGAAGTTGCAAGCACCGAAGACTCACAGCCACTGCTGCCAGGCCCTGGTGGCTCGGCCTTGCTTTGCCCCTGGCCTCCCTCCTCTTCCCATCGGAAGGCAGTGGGCACAGGTGCTGGGGAAAGTAGTTTCTAAGAGCAGAATGGGTCTGGGAGCAGAGAGAAAAACGAGGAGCGTACTACCCTGCTGCGGCATAGAGACTTGCAGAGAGCCTTCCCGTCAACCAAGAGCAGGGCCACAAGTTCAAGAACAGGTCAGGCTGGGCCGCTCGCATTCTCTGCTTTCAGGTCCAAGCGGCGTTCACTTTGGGACTCTCCTGCATTTCAGGGGGGAGCAGCTCATTTGGCAGGAGCCCGTGCTCGCTTTGTAAATTAAAAACTCAAGTTCAGTAGGTACATGCTGCTCCTCCCCACCTTTCCTCTTTTTGGGCCATCTGGTGGACCTGGGATTTATTGCAGAGGGGTGCAGTGCAGCCCTTCCTTCTGGACAAACAGGCGAGCGCCTGGGCTCCAGGAGGCCCGGGAAGGGCGGTGGTGTGTGTGCTTCTGTCTGTCTCTGAGAGCAAAGGCTGTCTGTCCTCGCAGACTCTTGGCTCAGGACTCTTGCTCCTGTGAGTCGGGCCCAGGGCACGTGCAGTTCAGGGCTCCCCAAGAGTAAGCGGCCCCAGGAGCAGGCTGAGTGCACAAGCCGAGCGCGCTCGGAGACCAAGTGACGGAAGCCAGCTTTTCTCTGTTTCTCCCTGACAGGATGGCGATGTAATCGCGCCGCTTATCACCCCTCGAAAGCGGGAGTGGAACAGGGATCCAGGCGCGAGCCCCACCGGCAGCCGGGAGGCGCTCAGGTCCAGGGGCCAGCTCTTCCAGGACAAGCTGGCGTGAGTGCCGCAGAGGGCGTCCCCTGCTCGGTTCCCCCAGAGCCCTCCGTCCGGCCCTCCGAATGGACTGATGGTCACTGCTTCTTGTGTTATGTTTTGAACGTGCGCACATGCTCAAGCTAAGTGGTTTTAAAAGAAACAAAAAGGTATGTGGCCAATCTTGCTATGCACACTGGGAAAAGCTGACATGGACTGATTTTAATGCTAAGAAAACCTTTCTCCCTCCATAGTCCATTTTCTTAAGATAACTCTTGTATCTACCCTGAGCACTGGGACAGATGATTGTTGTTAACTTAGAAATGACAAAAGGCTGTACATTGAAATTAGACGTGGGATTTGTCTTGGATGGACGTGGTTAAAACCAGAACATACAATCCCAGCCCCCTGGGGTGGCACCTGTCGCCCCAAGTATGTGAATAGCCATCCACAGGTAATCTACGCACAGGGGAGAGACACCCCCACCCTTCTAGCCCCCTCATATGCTGCCAGGTTGGGGTGACAGCAGGAGGCGAGGGCCAGGAGTGGGTCTGACTCTCGGAGAAAGGCCTGGGGAAGCTAGCGGGAGGGTCTGGGGGCTCTGGCTTCCTCCTCAGCGGAGCCCCCGGGACAGAGGGGTCCCTCGAACGAGGCCGTTCCTTGCGTCCGCCCCAGCTTCAGGTCGGGCAGTTTCTTTGTCTCCTGAGTGCTCGCTGCCCCAGTCCTGCAGGCCGTGAGCTGGGCGGAGGTCACCCCAGGAGCTGCGCTCAGCCCGTTCAGACCTAGGACTATGTTGTGGCTGCTTCCGTGCCCTTGGCAGGTCGCAGGGCAGACGCTGGAGCGCCCAAGCTGAGCTTGTGCCTCCCTAGCGGCTTCCGGTTGTCCCTCCCATCTGGTGCTGATCCGCCCAGGGAACGAGCCGGCAGCCAGGCGGTTGCAGTGGCTCTGACCACAGCCAGCAGGTTAGCTATGTCTTAGGGGTGCGTCACTTGGCACTGTATGAGGCTGCTTGAAAAGGTTCATGGGAAAATGGCATCAAAAAGCATTTGTTTTGGTGGAGAAAAAAGGCCAAACTCATGCACTTTTTTTCATAACACATTTTCCATGAACTTTTGGAGGACCCCCGTAGAACCAGATTCTGTTCCGTCCACACCCACGGGCTGACTGTGGCTCAGAGCAGCACGGGAGCCCTCCACCGTGAGGCCCTGTGGGGGGCGGTGTTGACTCCTCGGCTCACAGGAGCCTCAGCCAGGGCGGCCCCAGCACGCGGCCACATCTGCTCGCCCAGCTGCCTCGACAACTTTCAGGGCAGCCAACAGTGGCCCTCAGCGTCCTGCGGCCAGCCCCAAGGTCACGAATGTAGTCTCTGCGGAGATCCCTGTGTTTCAGGGCCTGGGGCTGCCCGAGTGCCGTCGTCCCAGCACCGCACCGCTTGCTGGCCGAGGTGCAGCGAGACCGTGTCTGGTTTGCGTCTTCTGTCACACGCAAGGCAGCTGCACTTTACGCCCGTTATGACTGTTGTGATGATGAGAACCGTGTGCCGCTTACCAGGTTGCTTTTAAAAAAAAAAAAAAATTCTTGACTGTTTGTATAAAAATAGAGATTTTAACAACGTGGTCTCTGGAGTCGTAGACATTGTTGCCTTGAGACTATAAATGCAACGGCAGGTTACAAGGACGCGATCCCCTGCCTGGGCTGGGCTGCTGCCATAATGTGTCCTGAATGTGTCTGGGTGTGCGCGTGGCCGGGCAAGCCCTGGGCCGGGGCTGCAAGCAGCAAGGGTGTTGACGCGAGGCAGCCCGAAGGGTCCCCTGTCCCTGCAGAGACTGGCACTGGCGGCAGGGGGCGGGCTTCCTGAGGTTTCAGAATTGCTGATGCACGGAAAACAGGTCATCCTCTTTTTAAAAAAATAAAATAAAAACTAAGACATTTATTTCAAAGGCAGACTAATAGAGATCTTCCACCCTCTGGCTCACTCCCTAAATTCCCATAACAGCCAGGTCTGGTCCATCCAGGTTTCCCACGTGGATAGCAGGGCCCCAGGACTGCTCCCAGTACGTCCCAGATGGGTTAGCAGGGTGCTGGATCGGAAGCGCAGGGTGTCCGGGACGCACACCAGGCACTCCGCGGCACAGCGTCCACCCGCCTCCTCTCTCAACCTGCCCTCGGGCCCCGTCTCCACAGGTTTCCGTCTCTGTCCAGATACGCGCGTTACTCATTCGCTGCTCCCCGATCCTGTGAAACGAAACGGTGGCTTTGCAAGCACCTGGCACGCGGGTGGCAGAGCAGCCACAGGGCCGGGGAGGCGGTGATGCCGCTGGCGTCTGTTAGTCCCGCCGGTGGAGTCTGGCTTTCGCAGGTTGGATGATGTTTCAATTAAAAGAACTTCCAAAGCACACAAGCCAGAGTCTCGTTTAGATAAGGGAATACACACATGTGTGTGCCCCATGTGTGTGCGCGTGTGTGTGTACAAATTGGCAGGATACACGTGCGAATGTTAGTGTTCGAGAAGGTGGTTCAGCCGCTTTAATTTCTGCTCCTTCCGGTTCCCACAATAAGCACGTACTATTTGTAGGACTCCTGCTAGGATGCTTTTCACGAGGGACTTTGTAGCTTCCGCTCCTCCGCGGTCACCTCCGCAACCAAGCAGTGCTTGCCCCGTCCCTTCTTGGGTCCCAGACATCGGGGGGGCTGGCCAGCAGTCACAGTCAATGCCAGGGCCCTCACCAGGCGCCGGGTGGGCTGCTCTGTGTAAGCAGGGCCTAGGCGGCCCCCTGAGCCTCAGCTCAACGCCCAGGCCTCCAGCTCCGTGACACAGAACTGCTCGTGCCGGGCCAGCACCTCGTTGTTGAAGGTCGCGCAGGGCTGGCTCCCACCGTGATACAAGTCTCCGTCCAGCCACAGCCCGAAGTGGCCACTAAAGAGAAGAGGACAGTGCTGGCAAGGCTCACAGTGAGAGAGAGAGAGAGACAGAGAGAAAGGTCTTCCTTCCATTGGTGTACCCCCCAAATGGCCGCTACAGCCGGCATGCTGTGCTGATCCAAAGCCAGGAGCCAGGTGCTTCCTCCTGGTCTCCCATGGGGTGCAGGGCCCAAGCACTTGGGCCATCCTCCACTGCCTTCCCGGACCACAGCAGAGAGCTGGACTGGAAGAGGAGCAACTGGGACAGAACCAGCGCCCCAACCAGGACTAGAACCCGGTGTGCCGGTGCCACAGGCGGAGGATTAGCCTAGTGAGCTACGGCACGGGCCTAGAGTGTTTTTCAAAATACGCACGGGCAGTAGTGCAACCATCTGCACCACCCAGTTTTAGGCACCGGGACATATTTTTTCTGGCAAGTGTTCAGCAGAGGCGTGAATCTCACGGCTGTGGACCCTGAAGGCCCCAAACTGCTTCAGAAAGAGGCCTCCTAAAGCCCCCCCAGCCTCCTGCCTTATCTGGAGCAGCCAAGCAGGACAGAGAGGAGAGAAACGGGACCAGGACAGGCAACCCAAGACACACACCTGCCGCTGCCCAGCATCAGTGAGTCCAAGTCTCCTTTCACGAAGAAAGAGTTGCTTCCGGTCCACTTGAAGACCTGGGGAGGTGGAAGGGCTCGGGTTACCAGGCAGGTCTTGACCCCAAAGCTGGGGGGCGGGAGGGACTCCTCCTGCCAGCATCCCTGGCGTCCGCCGCCTCATACCATCGTTAGAATTCCCACCGCCTGGAAGCCCCCTCATTGGAGGAATGGGAACAGACCTCGAAGGCTCCCCGCTTCCTACAATAGAGAGAGGAGTGGAGAAGCCCAGGGCAGGAGACGGGACCCATCTTGAACTCCACTCCTGCGTCTCCCTGCCTGTGCCCATCGGTGAGACGCCCCCTGACGGCGGCCACTTCTGCCTGGCCCAGCCTCACTTGCCCCTGTCCACGCTGCAGCTTCGCACCCTCCCCTGGCCTCCTGTTACTACGGGAACAGAAGCCACCTCCTTGCTGTAGCCCAGAGAGCTCTTCCCTCCACCCCCCAAGCACCCACGAGCCATCTTTCAGCCCAAATGACATCTCATATTTCCTGCGGCCGCCCTCCCCCTCAGACCTGGTTTTTATTTTTCAAATTCTTTCTGAGCTATTGGAAGGGCAGACACACAGCTCCCATGGCCAGGACTATGGCAGGCTGGAGCTGGGGGCCAGGAACTGGATCCAGGTCTCCCGCATGGGTGGCAGGGGCCAGCTATGTGAGCCATCGGCTGCTTCCTCCCAAGGGGCGCATGAGCAGGAACAGCTGGGACTGGCACGCAGACCCCCTGATACGGGTGTGCACATCGGCAGCGGCCTGTTCCGTGGTCCTGTCGTGATCGTCAGCTATATTCCTGGTATGTAGTTGAGAAGTTTGTTGAGTGAAGAAATCACTTGAGTCCAATCAGGCCAAGCTTTAAAGAGCCACAAGAAGGCCGGCGCCGCGGCTCACTAGGCTAATCCTCCGCCTTGCGACGCCGGCACACCGGGTTCTAGTCCCAGTGGGGGCGCCGGATTCTGTCCCGGTTGCCCCTCTTCCAGGCCAGCTCTCTGCTGTGGCCCGGGAGAGCAGTAGAGGATGGCCCAAGTGCTTGGGCCCTGCCCCCCTGGGAGACCAGGAGAAGCACCAGGCTCCTGGCTTCGGATCAGCATGGTGCGCCGGCCGCGGCAGCCATTGGAGGGTGAACCAACGGCAAAAAGGAAGAGCTCTCTCTCTCTCTCTCTCTCTCTCTCACTGTCCACTCTGCCTGTCCAAAAAAAAATAAAAATTTTTTCTAAAGAGCCACAAGAATATAATCTGCAAGAGGCCTTCGCAAAGTTTATGGAAAAATGCAGATTCTGCAGAAACCTAGCAGGGATTTCACACCCTTTTGCACCCAAATAAACAAAATCCACTTTGAAGTACCCTCATATTGTTGCTTGTAATTCATTGCACAAAATTGCTGCAAGAAACCAGCTGGTCCAAACCAGAAGATGGGCTGATCCGAGGGGGTCCCGGGCTCAGAGGGCTGAGGTGACAGTAACCACAAGGAGGCAGAGCCAGTCACCCCTCTCTTCTCTCAGGGCGTGAGGGAGCAGACCAGGCCCTCGGTGCTGCCAGTAACAGAGAGTGGCCCACCTTCGGATCCTAGGGTCCTGAAGGGTGGGCGGGGAGACAGCCCCTCTCTGGAAAGCCCCAGCGTCACCCGGCCATGATTTTGAGCATATGTGTGCCAGGGGCCGCTTTAGGCCCTGGGAGAAACGGTGGACGCCAAGGACAGACATCTGTCGCATAGACTCATGTTCTCGTGAGGCGTGGCAGGTGTCAGTGGATAGGGAGTCGACACGTCCAGGGGTGAGTGTGGCCCTTTTCCGCCTCCCTGAGACAGTGGTCCTGCAGGAACCGAGAGCAGAGCCCTGTGGAGGTCCCTGGGAGGGTGTGCTAGGCAGAGCAGCAGGTGCAAAGGCCCCGAGGCGGGAGCAGCCGGGCGCAGAGTGAAGGAAGCGCAAGGTGGCGGCAGCTGGCAGGTGCAGGGCTGTGTGGGTCGCGTTCGCACTTTGCTAAGGCACACATGCCCTGACGCGGTCCTTTCACTGACAGCCGCAGGGGGAGCAGGGAGACCCAGTCGGAGGCAAGGGCCAGGCTGCCTTCCTTGAACCAGGGCGGCAGCAGAGGCATGGTGAGAAGGGGTGGGTGCTGGGTGCACGGAGAGCCCTGAGGACTCTGGCAGCTCGGCATGGGGGTGGGAGAGAGCCTAGGCTTGGGGGAGGAGCTTAGTGTTTGAAATCCAAGTGGAGCTGCTAGGTAGCAGCTGGCTGTGTGAGCTTGGGGCCTGGGGACGAAGCCATGGCACTGGGGAGAGAGACCACCAACAGAGAAGGGAGCCTGTGGTGTGAGTTTACCTCCAGGGCTGTTCCATTCCCAGAGCGGCTCTGTGCGGAGATGGTGTGGGACCTTTAAGGGGCGGGGGCCCGGTGGGCGGGTCCCCAGGTCTGCAGTCTATGGGAGGGAGCTGTTGGGAGAGCAGCTGACTGTGAGAGCCTGAGTCGCCCTGTGGTCTGTGACTCACACCCAGCTCCCAGCAGCCTCCAAGGCTGGGAGCTAAGGAATCCGCTTCTCCTTACAAAGCTGTAGCCTGCCTCGGGTGTTTCACTACAGTGCTGCAGAGCAGGCCAGGGCCGAGAGCCAGAAGCAGGCTTACCGGACATAAGCTGGGGGGAGGGGGAGGCAGCCAAAGGCCCTGGCAAGGAGTCCTCACTGGCCCCGCTCCCGTGCCTGGGAAGGTCGGGGGAGGAGCCTGGCTGATGGCAGCGTGGGGTCGGTGGGGGTGGACAGCTGAGTGGTCTCTGTGTGTCCTGGGGCTAACCAGAACTAACCAGAGCACTGGGACACTGCAAAGAGCCTGAACAAATCCTTCCAGACGGCGCGCTGTGCCCACCCAGGAAGATGCCTGGACTCCCCCCCGACCCCCACTCTTCTGTGCCATCTGTGCCTTTGCACCTGCTCCTCCCTCAATGCTGCCTCTTCTGGTCTCTCAAGATGCAGCTCCACAGCTCCCCCTAGGGGAAGTCCGTCTCCCCACGCCCCCCTCGCTTGTCCCCTGTGCTGCTCTGCAGCCGGGGCAGCTCTCCAGGGACCCTCCGGCTTAGAGTTGGTGCAGACGCCAGGGCCAGTGTCCGGTCTCGTTCTCACCAGCACCTGACTGGGAGCACAGGCCTGGCGCTCCACCTCTCTGCGCCTGTTTCTTCATCTGTCAGACGGAGCTGCACAGCCCTGCAGGGGGCACATGTCCCCCTTTTAGGAGAGGGGGAGTCGCTGGTTCCCGCCAAGCACGTTGCACTCCGTAGCTTTGCTCAGCGAGTGGCCAGGCACGGCACTCTGGGTGGAGGATGGTTGCAGCCTGCAAAGCCCTGCTTCTGGGCGCCTGGGTTTCCAGTCGCTGCCTCCCACGGGCAGGTCCAGGAACGGTCACATCTGCGCCGTCCGTCGTCAGCGTCCCTCCCTGTCCACCACATCTTGTCTTCCGACCCTGCGGCCTCGCTGCTCCAGGTCTGATGTCGGGGGTGGGGGGCGTCTGTCTCAGGAACCCCCGGCTTCCCTCCCTGCACATCCAGCCCCTGTGCCCTCACTCCCTTCAGCTTCCTTTTCCCTGTGCCAGAGCCCGGCCTGGACGAGCGCAGCCACTCTGCAGGCCTGGCCCAGGGAGCCGAGTGTCACCAGTGGGAAGCACGCGCCAAGGGCAGCCTGGCCTTGCTGGGCTCCTGAGCCCCAGCTTCCTCCGTGCCCCCACCCCCTGCCACCACGGGGACCCTCTGGCGCCTTCACCCCCATCCACACCACTAGCTGATGGCCTCACCGTGCTGTTCATCAGAGGTCCCGGACGTGTCCTCCCTCCTCCTCCTGCTCACCCTAGGGCTGGCCTGCACGTGGACCCAGCAGGCCCTTCCAGCCTGTGCCCTGTGTCCTGCCTCCTCTCCCAGCCGGGAACCCAACAGCCACATTTAAAAAAAATATATTTATTTGAAAGGCAGAGCCACACAGAGAGAGGAAAAGACAGAGAACACGAGAGATTTGCCATCTGCTGGTTCACTCCCCAGATAGCCACAGCAGCCAGGGCTGGGCCAGGCCAAAGGCAAGAGCCAAGTCTCCCATGTCAGGGCCCAAGCACTTGGGCCATCTTCTGCTGCTTTCCCAGGTGCATTGGCAGGGAGCTGGATCAGCAGTGCAGCAGCCAGGACTCAAATTGGTGCCCGTATGGGATGACATGTTCCAGGTGGTGGCTCAGTCCGCTGTGCCACAGCCCCGGCCCCAGCAGCCACTTTGTTGAAGATGGGCAGATCAGAGGCTGGGGCTGTGGCACAGCAGTTTAAGTGGCCACTTGGGACACCTGCATCTTATACTGGAAAACAAATTCGAGTCCTGGCTGCTCCAATCCCAATCCAGCTCCCTGCTTAGGCACTTGAGAGGGTAGTGGATGATGGTCCAAGTGCTTGGGCCCCTGCCACCCGTGAGGGAGACCTGGATGGAGCTCTAGACTCCTGGCTTCAGCCTGGTCATTGTGGCCACTTGGGGAGTGAACCAGCAGCTGGATGCTCTGTCTTTCATTCTGCCGTTCGATTCTTTTTTTTTTTTTTAATGAGTAGGCCCAGGGGCTCCTCTGCCCGCCACCAGCCGAGCTCAAGGGACACCAGGCAGCCCAGCATGGCCGGCAGCGCTTAGGGCCGCTGAGCCCCAGGCGTGGTCCTCCCTAGGCCCTCCCCCGTGAAGGGTGTGAGCATCACCTTCAGCTGCGGGGAGAAGGAGAAGAGGAAGGTCTCTCCAGTTCCGTAGAAGCCCTTGCTGAGCCGGATGGCCGAGGAGGAGAAGGCGCCGAACATCTGGAGAGAAGAACGTGCCGTCTGCAGCTGGACGGGAGTCAGGAGCCCCCCAGCCACCCCCCTCCAGGTGTGGAAAACGGAGCCCATCCTGGGACAGCTGGGCGGAGCTGGGGATCCAGGCCTGCAGGCCAGCACGTGGCAAACTCACGGCGCCCCGCGGCAGGGCTGTCGCTGGCCACTGCCTGCAGTGTCGGGACCCTCCTGCTCTCGCTTAGTCTTGTACGAGGGCCCCGTGCAGGAAAATCACAAGTTGTACACAAGCAGAAAGGGAGGAAGATAGGGGAGCCACAGACCCCTGTTCTGTCTCCCCAGCACAACTCCTCTTAACCTCTGAGCGCGTTCCCTGCCAGTGCACACACTGAACGGTCAACTTTATTGATTTATTTGAGAGGCAGATACAGAGCACTCCCATCCCATGGCCAGGACCCTTGGGAGCCAGGAGCTCCACCCAGGTCTCCCACATGGGTGGCAGGGGCCCAAGCACTGGAGCCGTCACTGCTGCCTCCCAGGTCAGCTTTGGGAGGAAGCTGGAGCCAAGACTGAAACCCAAGCGCTCGGATAGGGGACGAGGGTGTCTCACCTTCTACTTTATGTATTTATATTTTTAATAGATTGTTTGAAAGTCAGAGAACCCATCTACTAAATTATTCCCACGTGCCCACAATAGCCAGGACTAGGCCAGGCCGAAGCCAGCAGCTCAGCCCAGGTCTCCCACATGGATAGCATCTGGGACACAAGGACAGCAGCCATCCCTGTGCCCGCCCGCCCCCCCACGGTGCACCTTAGCAGAAGCTGGAATTGGGAGCAGAGCCAGGCATCGCTAGCTGCACTGTCATAGCTACACGAAGTACCCGCCCATTGACCTCTGTTTTAAACACCCATGTCTGTGCATACTTTTATCGCAAAGAGGAGACCCTGTGTAATGCACTTAATGTAAGGTGCTTGTATTGACCAAGTTCAGCCATAGCGAGAAGTGAAGAGCAGGACCCGGATGCCCTGCACCTCCACCCAGAGTTGCAAATGTATTTGCCACGTTTGCTTTCTCTGCCTCTTCATGTGCTTCTCTGAGCCTTGGGAAACGACCCTCCAACCCTAAACAGTTCGGCTCCTAAGATGGGGGACTTTGTCTTTTTTTTTTTAATAAAGCATTTATTTATTAACTCTTCAATACTTTTTTTTTTTTTTTTTTGGACAGGCAGAGTGGATAGTGAGAGAGAGAGACAGAGAGAAAGGTCTTCCTTTTTTGCCGTTGGTTCACCCTCCAACCGCCACGGCTGGCGCACTGTGGCCGGCCCACCGCGCTGATCCAATGGCAGGAGCCAGGTACTTATCCTGGTCTCCCATGGGGTGCCGGGCCCAAGCACTTGGGCCATCCTCCACTGCCTTCCCTGGCCACAGCAGAGAGCTGGCCTGGAAGAGGGGCAACCGGGACAGAATCCGGCGCCCCGACCGGGACTAGAACCCCGTGTGCCGGCGCCGCTAGGTGGAGGATTAGCCTACTGAGCCGTGTCGCCAACCGGGGGACTTTGTGTTACGTCACCGTAATACACACTGTTGCATCTAAGAAACTGCACCGTCAGTCCTTCTGTTCTTGTCTCCAGCTGTCTCCTGAATGCGTTTCAGAGACTGTTTAAGGAGAAAACCTCGTGGCACTGCAGGTGAAGCTGCCCCCTGCGGCACTGGGGTCCCTTATCAGAGCGCTGGTTCTAGTTTGCTCCCAGCTAATGCACCTGGGAAAGCAGTGAATGATGGCTCAAGTGCTTGGGCCCCTGCCACCCACGTGGGAGCCCCAGATGGAGTTCCAGGCTCCTGGCTTCAGCCTGGCTTAGCCCTGGCTGTTGTGGCCATTTGGGGAGTGAACCAACAGATGGAAAAGCTCTCTCTCTCTCTGTCTGTAGTTCTGCCTTTCAGATAAATAAAATAAATCTTAAAAAATAAAACAATAAAAAGGACACCGTGGCCCAGCTTTTCACCGTGTGGAGCCATCAAAGCTCCCTTGGCTATCTTCTGCTTGGGGCAAGCTAGCTTTCCTAGCTGTGGGGAGTAGGGTTGTGGGTTTTTTTGTTTTTGTTTTTGACAGGCAAAGTTTGACAGTGAGAAGAGAGACAGAGAGAAAGGTCTTCCTTCCGCTGGTTCACCCCCCAAATGGCCGCTACAGCCAGAGCTATACCCATCCGAAGCCAGGAGCCAGGCACTTCCTCCTGGTCTCCCAAGCGGGTGCAGAGCCCAAGCACCTGGACCATCCTCCACTGCCTTCCCGGGCCACAGCAGAGAGCTGGCCTGGAAGAGGGGCAACCGGGACTAGAACCCGGTGTGCCGGCGCCACAAGGCAGAGGATTAGCCTATTGAGCCGCGGCGCTGGCCAAGGTTGTATGTTAATACCAGGAGGAACTTCCTCCTGGTCCCAGTGTTGGGGCTCCATCCAGCGGGAGGGAGCTTCCCGGCCCTTGGGTGGAAGGGCTCATGCGAGGGTCCTCTAGGACCCCTGAGGTCTCTCCGGGCATGAACAGGTGCCTTCCACAGAGGGGCATCTGAAACCAGCTCCCAAGCCCGCTTCCTGCCACCCGAGTGCAAGGCTGGAGCCACCCACCACAGGGTCTCAAGGCAGGAGCCCTGTGTGGCAGCTGCCTCGCACCGGCTCGACCTCCTCCCCTGCAGCGGGGCTGTGTGAGCATGGAGGTGGGTGTGGCTCAGCTGATGAGGCTCCTCCCCCCAAGCACTGCTGAGGAGATGGGGCTCTGCATGTGTGGTGGGTGGTTTTAGCCTTAATAGCTGACTCCTCCCCGTTAGACTATCACCTCCAGGAGGCCTGGGGCCACTCTGGGGTCGGCAGTGTCCCATATCTACCCGGGCGCACTGAGGTGCTCCAGATACACAGTTCTTCTGTGAATTACGAGGGGAGGGCTCTGGGTGGGACGGGCCTCAAAGCCCTCGTCAGCGTCCCTCCCGTGTGACTCCATCCATCGCCTCTGCCTCCTGGCCAGGTGTGCTTGGGAGCCCCCGAGAGCCACAGGTGAGGGCCCAGCACAGCTCACCTGCCCGTCCTGGTCCCTCAGCACCAGCAGCGCCGGCCCGCCGTGGCCCTCCATCTGCCGGTACAGCCGCCGCAGGCTGAAGCCGTCCCGAGACGTGCAGAAGGCGAGACTCCAGGGGCGCCCCCTGAGCCTCGGGGGGAGGTGGAGGCTGAGCTGGGGGCAGAAGGCCTGCGGTTAAACAGCATGTCCCGGTGACGTCCATGCCCATTAGCAAGGGCCCTCAAAGACGGGGCTTCCTGGTCCCGTTTTACAGATGAGAAGACTGAGGCTCAGAGAAGCCAAACAACCCAAAGCCAGGATTTGCACTGAGGTCGGGACCCCCTCCCCGCGGCTGGCCTGGCCCCACCCCAGCTTCGGCTTCAGCGCCAAGGGCTTTGCTCTATTTCAGAATCAGCTTCTTTCCTTGTCTCTGCCCTGCTGGTCCAGGGAGCACGGGGGTGCTAGAGTCACTGAATCATTGTGTGGAAAGGGAAAGGCAAGAGGGAAATGATTTGTGCAAGGTGATAGGGTGATCTGGGGACAGAGCAGCCGGGAGCCCAGGGCCCCCTGGGCGTGGCCTTTAGGCTGAAATCTCCGGACCACGCAAGATGCCCGAACCTGCCTAATCTCCGAGGCCCGCAGCACCTGGCTGGCCTCCATCAGCTGGGGCTCCTCCGCGGTTGGGGCTGGGGCTGGGGCTGGGGCTGGGGCTGGGGCCGCCGCCTTCTCTTCCTCTTCGTCATCCTCCTCCCCAGAGAGCGCGTCCTCCACTTTGCTGGGCTGTGGAGACATAGGGAGGCCTGGCAGATCACAAGCGGCCACTTCCTCCATCTCACTGGCACCAGAGCCTCGGGCCCCTGCAGCCCTGCCGCCCCCCGCCCTGTGACAGCCAGGACTGTGCCCTGGCTCCAGCTGCTTCCTCCCCAGCCCTGACCGCTGAAGGCCAAGGCTCACCGGCTGCTCAAATGGGGCTGCCGGCCCTGCGCTTGGTCCGCCTGTTTGTTCTGGATCCAGGGTGGGTGCCAGGGATCAAATTCAAGGCTGGGAGCAGGGAAGAGCAGGTGGCAGCTCAGCCCTGGGAGCTGCAGCCCTGTGTGTGTGTGTGTCCGTGTGTGTGCAGGAAATAATGACCTGCCCTGAGGTGGTGCGTGGTGCGTGCGGTCATGTGGGTCTGTGTAGAGTGGGATTTTCCACGTGTGTTGTGTGTTGGCTTGGACCAGGCTGGTGGGGCCGTCGGGGTGAGAGGTGTTCAGCAGAAAGTGGTTTGAGTGTGAGTTGGGATCGTGTAAATCTGTGTGTGTATCAGTGTGCATGCTCCGCTGAGCTTCCCCTCTGCAGTGTGTGTGTGCAAGCGTGTGTGTGCCCGGGTGCCTGCGCACCATGGCTCCCAGGCCGCTCACGGGAGGGGGTGAGACATTGGCGTCTCAGGACCAAGAGGCTGGGCGCCGAAGCCCCAGGGTTCAGAGTTGCTGCCGCTGTAAGGCCCCAGCCCACTGGGAAGGAGACACATCTGCCAGCATCCCCCCCTAGCCCAGGGCCTCCTCCCGTGCCTCCCGCCCTCTCTGGCAGCCCGAGCAAGTGGAGCGGGCCCTTACCAGCCGAGTGTAGCGCCAGCGAGCCCCCTTCATGCTCCCTTCCGGTCCCAGCCGCCGGCAGTGAGTGAGCGAGCGCCCAGCCCAGCTGGGGAGGAAGCAAGACCCAGAGGTGAGCGACAGGTCTGGGGCACGCCCTGCCGACCACGCCCACCCAGCTGCCCTTTGCCCCCTCTCCTTGCCACGCCTGGTGGCCCCGGGTGAGTCTGAGCAGCACGTGGATGCCATCTGTGACTCCACTCGCCTCCCTGCCCTCCTGGCCGCCTGGCTTGGTGCGTGTGGCTCTTGGGCAGGTGCCGCAGGTCCCCTGTAGGGCCTTGGGCCAGACCACTTGCATCTCGGGGCCTCAGCTCCCTACATGTGACATGATGGACTGGATCATCCTGGAAATGGCCCCTGATTCTAGTGCCCCAAAGCCTCTGAGTGCCTGCGACAGAAGCAAAAACCAGACCCTTCAAAATGCCTTTTTTCTTAAAAATCTTTGGAGCCTCACCAACTCCAAAGTCAGGCTGTGCCATGGAAGCCAGGAGCCAGGAACTGCATCTGGGTCTCCCGTGTGGGTGGCAGGGACCCCAGTACTGGTGGCATTGCTGCTGCCTCCAGGGGTGGGCATCAAGGCCAGGCCCCTTGATCAGGGCGTGGGACCCCGGCAGCTTCTACCCACTAAGCCAAACACGGCCCCTCAATGGTTTTTCTGCTTTTTAAGAGTCCATTGTGGCTATTGTGAAAAGTCTGGGGAATCCAGAAAAGAACGAGGAATACAAAATATCTGTAATTCCATGTCTCAGAGATACACTCCCGCTGCCAACGCATGGCCCAGTCTGACTGCATGGAGGCCTGGGGTCACAGTGAGATGGTTTTATAAGATGCCTTTTCCACTTGACCACAAGCCTGGTGACACTCGGCGCCCTCTGAGCCTGATCGTGAACAGCTCTGTATTGTTCGTTGTAGGGCGTGCGTGATTTACTCCCCTCCTTCCTGTCGTCCGTGACCATGAGCAAACCTGCACTGAACTTTGTTCACATGTGATTACATCCTTCGCCATCTAGTTCATAGCTGGCTGTGAGGTCAAAGGGCACGCACATGGTCCTGGACATGGCCCCAACAAGGCCTTCCTGGTGTGTGTGTGTGTGTGAAGATTTATCTGTTTATTTGAAAGGCAGGTTACAGAGAGAGAGAGGGAGAGATCTTCCATCCACTGGTTCACTCCCCGCAGCTGGGCATGGGCCAGGCTCGAGCCAGGAACCTCATGTAGGTCTCTCACATGGGCATGGGCTGCTGTCCCAGGTGCATCAGCAGGGAGCTGGATGGGAAACAGAGCAGCCGGGATGCTGGTGCTGCAGGCGGCGGCTTCACCTGCTGTGCCACAGCGCCGGCCCCTTCCCCGGTGCCTAAGGCTGACCTGGCTCCAGGAGCCTGTGGTGGATCCCAGAGTGACGTGTTTCTCATCATCGAGCTATAGTGCCTAGGGAGGCTGCCGTGCATTAAGGGGAAGGCGTGCACATAGCCGCAGGACAGCAGGTGCATTTGCTAAGACCACCCAGGCTCTGCAGTCAGGAAGCTAAGCCCCTTACTTGCTGTGTGACCTTGGGTAACTTTCTTCTGTCACCTCAGCTGTAAAATACCAATCTCTACCAATGTTATAAAGGAAAATTGTGGGGCCGGCACTGTGGCATAGCGGGTGGAGCTGCCGCCTGCAGTGCTGGCATCCCATATGGGCTCTGGTTCGGGAACAAACTGCTCCACTTCCAATTCAGCTCTCTGCTGTGGCCTGGGAAAGCAGTAGAAGATAACCCAAGGCCTTGGGCCCCTGCACCCATGTGGGAGACCTGGAAGAAGCTCCTGGCTCCTGGCTTCAGATTGGCACAGCTCTGGCTGTTGTGGCCAATTGTGGGGTGAACCAATGGATGGAAGACTTTCTCCCTCTCTCTCTCTCTCTCTCTCTCTCTGCCTCTCCTCTCTGTGTAACTCTGACTTTCAAATAAATAAATATTTAGAAAAAAAAAAAAGGAAAATTGTGCCTAAAGAGCTGGCAGGCTAAGCCAGGCCTCTGTCCTCTGTCCTGTCAGTGCTGTGACCCACAGGCCCTGGTGTTTGGTGAGTGCTGGGTAAGCCCAGAGCCCACTGCTGTCCCCACACTGCTTCTCTGAGAGACCCAGGGCTCCAATCCCAGAGAAGTGGCCAGCAGCCTCCCCCCAGGAGCCCCCAGGACAGGCAGGCACGGCCACTCCCACGGTGAGGAGCTGGGGGTTGGGGAAGGGGAGGGAGACTCACCCTGCCGTGCCCTGGTCCTGGTGACCTCCTGCAGGCAAGTGTCCGCCAGCTCCGCCAGGGAAGAGCACACCCAGGACTGACCTGTCCACGGGCTGTCTGTGCGCTGGCCCTGGCCCTGGGCCCTCCTCCTTGGCTCTTATACCTGCCAGGAGGGTGTGTGGCCCGCCCTGGCCCTGCCCCTGCCCCAGCCCCGGTTCCAGCTGGGAAGGTCTATTCGTGATTATAGGACACCAGGAACTCAAATCCCACAAACACACACAAACAAGACCTGGTCACCCTCAGCCCAAGGCTGTGGGGCATACTGTGGCCCTCACCTGGAACTTCTCCCTGTAGCCAGCGTGCAGGCCCTGCTGCCTGCTACCCACCGCTGGAGACCCGGCCCTGGGCACTGCCTTTGTGCAAACGCTCTGGGAGACGCAGCGTGTGCAGCGGGGAGCGGGGCCTGGGAGCTCTGTGCTGTCTCCCCTCTCTGGCCTGCTGTGCAGCAGGTGCCTGGTTCACAAGGGACACACAGAGACTTCTCTGTCCCAGGCTCACAGAGGGACGTCAGTGACTGCTGTGTTGTTGGCTCACAAACTTCAAAACCGAGCCTCAGAGCAGGTGGCATCTGCCCAGGGCAGGATCCACTGGAGAACACAGCCCAGGCACTTCCTTGCTCTGCTGGGTGGGTGAGCCCGCTGGCCTACAGGGGGCCCGCTCCAGCTGTACACACCTGGAAGGCACCCACCCCTCCTGCTTCTGGTGGAGCACACTGGCAGCCTCAGATACCCTGCCCCCCCGCCCCGGCCAGCGCTCCCCCTGGACGCCGCAATGGCCGCTGTATTGTGGGGAAAACAGGCCAGCATGAGGCCCTGTTACCACCTCAAACATGGCTGTTGCAATCTGTGTTTCGGCTATCAACAGCACAGGGGTCACAGCCTGGCACCTCCTGCCCTCTCCCACCCTCCTTCCTCCCGGCTCACCACCTGACCCCTGGAAGCTTGGAGAGGCAGGGCGGTCTGCCCGGCTGCCCCATTCCGCAGTCCTCATGTCCAGGAAACCCAGCGTGTGGGTGGGTGGGGACACCCCGTGCACACAGCAGCCCCTAGAAGGCCTCCAGCACCCGGGCCCTGGCACCGCCCTTGGCCTGCAGGTTGCTGTCTCCTTGCTTCCAGGCCAGCCTCGCACCGCCTCTTTCAGATCTGCCGCTGCCCCGGGGCAGGGGTCTGGCCTCCTGGATTGGAATGCCTGGGTTCCAGTCTTGGCTCTGCTCCCCTCTGTAGCTATGGGGAGCCAGCAGGTGATGGCTCTGTAACCCACACTGGAGACCTGGGTCGAGTTCCAGGCTCTTGGCTTTGACCTTAGCCCTGGCTGTTGAGGGCATTTGGGGAGTGAACCAGTGGATAGGAATTGTTTTTCTGTACCTTTGAAATAAAAAATGAAAACAAAATTTTAAAAGAACTGCAATAGAGTGGCTGATGTTGTGGCATAGCATGTTAGAGAACCACCTGTGATGCGGCATCCCATATGGGCGCGGGTTCGAGCCTTGGCTGCTCCACTTCTGACCCAGCTCCCTGCTAATGGCCTGGGAAAGCAGTGGAAGATGGCTCAAGGGCTTGGGCCCCTGCACCCGCATGGGAGACCTGGATGAAGCTCCTGGCTCCTGGCTTCAGCCTGGCTCAGCCCTGGCTGTTGAGGCCATCTGGGGAGTGAACCTACAATCAGATTTCTCTCTCTCTTTCTGTCTCTCCCTCTGTAACTCAGCCTTTCAAAAAATAATAAATCTTTAAAAAAAAAAAAAAAACCTGCAATCGTCACTTCCAGGAAGCCATTTGAGTGACCAATGACCAATAAAGGGGGAAGGGGTGCCCCCTGGGCCGCCTATTCATGGGCTTCTTTCTGAGTGGGAAGGGGCTGATGTGTGCCTGGAGGTTATGAGCAAGAGCCTCCGCCTCTTGCTAAGTGTTGAGCCCGCCGGCACCTGCGGTGCGACGCCGGCAGGTGCCGGGGCTGGGGGAGGGTGGGAACCGTGAGGCCTGGGCCTCCCTCTGAGGGTCACGGGCGCTCCCTGGCGTCCGGGAATCCGCTGGGTCCGGGAGTCCGCTTGCCGCCCTCCCCGCCTCCAGCCCTCTCCCCCTAGCCCTCTCCTTTTTGCACCGGGCGTACAGAGGCCACGCCCCTCACCGCACCACCCCGCTCCCTTCTGCCTGGCTCCCCACAGCCGGCCCCGCCCCTCACCCCTGCTCCCGCCCGCCTTCCTCTCTCCGCCTTCTCGCTCGCCCCTCCCTCTGACTAGGGCCCCCTGCAGCCTCAGGTCGCCCTGGGAGAGGGGCTCTTCCCTCTCCCGTCTCCTGCTACCCGCAGTGGCTGCGGTCGCAGTTCAGCCCTAGCTGCTCTGCTTCCCATCCTGCTGCCTGTTAATGCACCTGGGAGGCATGGAGGAGGCTCCATCGCTTGGGCCCCCGCAGCCACGTGGTGGGGGCCCGGATGGAATTCTGGTTCTGGGCTCCTGGCCCTGGTTGTTGCAGGCATTTGGGAAGCAAACCAGCAGAAGGAAAATCTCACTCTGCCTTGAATATAAATAGACGACATTTAGATGACATCCGGCGCCATCAGTCTCAGTGACTGCCGTGCGGGGCGGGGCCTGGCTCTGACCACCCTCTCCTGCTCTACTCCCTTCTCTCGGCTTTGCCCAGCAGGCCCCGGGCCACGCTGGCCTGCCGGCTTCTCTGAGACTCGTCAGCCTCCTTTGCCCTTGCCGTTCCCTCTGCCTGGAATTCTCT